ATCAAACTGTCTAGACAAGGCATTAGCCTTCACATTTTTGGGACCAGGTCTGTAAGTTATAAGGAAGTTAAAGCGAGACAGAAACAAAGACCATCTAGCCTGTCTAGAAGATAGATGTTTAGCATCCCTTATATAAGCCAAATTCTTATGTTCAGTAATGATCAAAAGGGGATCCTTGGAACTTTCCAAAAGATGTTGCCACTCTTTAAGCGCTAAGACAATGGCCAACAATTTTCTGTTACCCATATCATAATTGCGCTCAGCGGGAGACAACTTTCTGGAAAAGTAACCACAAGGATGCAAAGGGGTGTCCTGACTCTCCCTTTGAGAAAGAATCACCACTACCCCAGTTTTGGAGGCATCGACTTCCAATACAAAGGGATTGCTGGTGTCAGGGTGTCTCAATATGTCGACAGAAACAAACCTTTGTTTAAGAAGTTCAAAACACCTCTCTAGCTTCCTTAAACCATACCGTACTACTAGCCCCCTTACATGTCATATTGGTGATGGGGGCTATTACATAAGAAAAACCCTTGATAAATCTTCTGTAATAGTTCGCAAACCCAATAAATCTTTGGAGGCTTTTAGTCCGCTAGGTACTGGCCACTGCATAACAGCCTCTAGTTTGTCCATCTGAAAACCAGAGGCAGAAATGTTATACCCCAAAAACTGTACTTCAGTCTGATCAAACAAGCATTTTTCCAATTTACAATAAAGTTTGTTTTCCAGTAAAGTCTGCAATACTTGTTTGACCTGTTTGTGGTGGGTTTGAAGGTCAGGGGAATAAATACGGATATAATCCAAATAAACCAGGACAAATGAATAGACATAATCCCTGAGTACATCATTAATAAAATCCTGGAACACGGCCGATGCATTGCATAGCCCAAAAGGCATAACAAGGTACTTATAGTGCCCACATCTAGTGTTAAATGCCGTTTTCCACTCATGATTTTCTTTATATCTTACCAAATTCTATGCACTCCTGAGATCCAGTTTGGTAAAGATCTTAGCACCCTGAAGTCTATCAAACAATTCAGAAATTAGAGGAATGGGCTAGGCATTCTTAAGAGTAAGCTTATTTAATGCTCTGTAGTCAATGCATGGATGTAATTCTCCATCTTTCTTTTCTACAAATAAGAAGCCTGCACCAGCAGGTGAGGATGATTTCTGTATATGGCCCTTGTTTAGTGAGTCTTTGATATATACTTCCATTAGTTTACTCTCCTGTGGCGATAAGGCATATACTGCCCCTTTAGGTGGCATAGTGCCGGGTAACAGATTAATGGAGCAGTCATATGACCTGTGAAGAGGTAAGATATTGGACTGACTCTTACTAAATACTTCCTTAACCTCCCGGTACTGTATGGGAACTTCGGGGGTTTGAGGTGTAGTAGTGGGTAATGGTACCCACTCTCTTGGTGAGGTGTAACATATACTTCCCATTACAATCCTTTCCCCATTCCAATATTTCCCCATTAGCCCAGTCGATATGAGGATAGTGCTTACTAAGCCAAGGAAAGCCTAATATGATAGGCAAGAAGGAGATGCAATAACGTGGAATATTATATTTTCCTTATGTAAGGCACCAATAGACATGGTAATGGGCAAGGTTTCATGGGTAATTAAGGGTTGAGAGCGTGGTCTCCCGTCAAAAGCCTCAACGGCCAGAGGTGATATTCTCTCCTTGATAGGTATAGCATTCTTTTTCACAAAATGAACATCAATGAAATTTCCTGCTGCACCTGAGTCCATCAGGGCCTGGCATGAAAAGTTATTTTTGTCAACTATGATCATAATATCAAGGAGAAATCTATTTATGTTATTCCCAGAGGACGTATCCATTACACCTAAGACCTGTCCCCTTAAGGTTCTTAGGTGCGGTAGTTTTCCGGACTTATGGGATAAGAACTCCTCATATGTTCTTTTTTACCACATTATATGCATAGACCCTCTCGTCTCCTATGTTGTCTTTCTGCCTTGGACAGTCTAGTGACCCCCAACTGCATAGGTTTGGGTTTGGACTGTATAGAGAGGTCATGAACAACCGGTCTGGAGAAATGAGGTGCTCATGGCAAAGCCAAATGCCTGGTTTTATTTCTAGTTCTGAGTCTATTATCAATTAGCATAATAAACGTAATAAACTCAGTTTTTTGGGTAGTTCTTTGGCAGCAATCTCATCCAACATAGTTTCAGATAATCCCTTCCCCCTGCGCTGTTCGAGTAAGGAGCATTCTGAAAGCCTGGGCAAACTGATTCATACGGTGATAATTCTCCACTAGCTTTCTCTCGCAAGCAGCTATGTGCTGACACAATTCTACAGGATCTATGGCCATGTCGTAATGTCAGGATTACTAGTTGATCCAGCACGTAGAATTGTGTCACACAGATGACTAATAGGTAACGTATTACCGGGCCTTAGAATGGCTGAACTTAACTTACCAAAGAGTAGTCAGGATACTTGCCGAGGTCAGGGGATACAGAAAGAGACACAACGATAAGGGAAAGACAGAAGTCAGGGATACCAGAATACAGGGAAGTCAAAATCAAAGCCAAAGTAAAGAAACAGAAGAAACTTGAATCAGGAACGTGCTCTCGGACAACCACTAGGGAAACCATGATAGGGCACTGGGCAGGATGAGAACTGGGCCTAAATACCCCTGGATCTGATAGGCTGTAATCGGCCTTTGACCCCAAAGGCAGTTACCAGGTTCACATTTCCATAATTGCTGCTCAGCACAAACCCTCCTGTGGATTTGATTGCTGCTCGGCACAACTTTTCCTGTCAGAACAGTAAATGTCATTAATCACATTTTTATATGCGGATGAATACGTGACAGGAACACTTCCTGAAAGATTAAAAACAGAGGTTCACTTATTTCTAGACTTAGTTCCTTAAGTATTCGTGGATGAATACAATCAGGCCCTGGAGCTGTGTTTATATTAACTTTCTTTAGTTGCTGCAGCACCTTGTCTTGAGTTAACCAATTACAATTTTTCTGCAAGTTAATAATAATAATATTAATATAATATACACATACATTCATTCATACATACATACACACACACACACTTAAATATTTATTTAATTCATTCTTAACTTTTTTTTCATTTTTCCACCATTAGGAGGTTAGGGTGACTGCCTGACAGCCCAGGCAGTCCCCCTGCTGGCAGTTACATGACCACCCGTTGCGAAAAATGGAACAACGGCACCTCAGAGGGGATATTGTACAAATATATTCAGGGCCAATACAAACCATTGTGTGGAAATCTATTTATTTATAAACAGGACTATACATAAGGATACCCCTTTTCCCACAACAAATTCTAACCAAAATATGATAAAAATATACCTATTAGTGAAGCGCTATAGGGATACAACCTGTGCAGGGGTTTATTTTCTTAACCCACAATTTTAGTAATAAAATGAACATCAAAATACATAAAGGAGAAAATAAAAAATAGTGTAGATGGTCTAGAAGTCACGATAAATTATAGAAAAGGCTAAAAACCACTCACATTTAGTGGAGCCTATAAAATATTGGCTGTGTGAGATTAACTTTTGTGTTCTTATGACAGCATTACCCCACTTCCTCTGTAATGTTTCCTCCAAATGGGATATAAGGAGAGAAGCAACCAATGTGTAGTATTTAAATTTTAAAACCTTAAAATCATAAAATAGGTATTAAGCTTATCTTTTATAGAGCCTTCAATTCCTGGCTCTAAGGATAACAAGCAGATTGCCAATTTTCTGCCAAGCAGAAAAAAGCAGCTTGGTGAGAAGGTGACAACAGTTGGTGCGATTATTTGCAAATGGAAGAAACACAAAATAACTGTCAGTCTCCCTCGGTCTGGTGCTCCATGCAAGATCTTACCTCGTGGAGTTTCAATGTTCATGAGATTGGTGAGGAATCAGCCCAGAGTCACCAAGAAAACAATTGGTAACACACTACACCATAAAGGACTGAAATCCTGCAGCGCCCGCAAGGTCCCCCTGCTCAAGAAAGCTCATGTACAGGCCCGTCTGAAGTTTGCCAATGAACATCTTAATGATTCAGAGGAGAACTGGGTGAAAGTGTTGTGGTCAGATGAGACCAAAATCAAGCTCTTTGTCATCAACTCAACTCGCCGTGTTTGGAGGAGGAGGAATGCTGCCTATGACCCCAAGAACACAATCCCCACCGTCAAACATGGAGGTGGAAACATTATGCTTTGGGGGTGCTTTTCTGCTAAGGGGAAAGGACAACTGCACTGCATCAAAGTGACGATGGACAGGCCATGTACTGTCAAATCTCGTGTGAGAACATCCTTCCCTCAGCCAGGGCATTGAAAATGGGTCGTGGATGGGCATTCCAGCATGACAATGACCCAAAACACACAGCCAAGGCAACAAAGGAGTGGCTTAAGAAGAAGCACATTAAGGTCCTGGAGTAGCCTAGCTAGCCTCCAGACCTTAATCCCATAGAAATTCTGTGGAGGGAGCTGAAGGTTTGAGTTGCCAAACGTCAGCCTCGAAACCTTAATGACTTGGAGAGGATCTGCAAAGAGGAGTGGGACAAAATCGCTCCTGAGATGTGTGCAAACCTGGTGGCTAACTACAGGGCTCGAGTCCTGCAGGAACGCATGGGAACGGCGTTCCTGCACTTTTTCCAAAGCAGGAACGCCGTTCCCGTTACCTGTCCTGCAGGACCGGCCCTGCTACCTGCACTGAGGCGCTGTGTTCCCTCTCCAGCTATAACTCTCACGAGACCCGTGGCTGTTACCATGGCAACGCTCCGCACAGACGAGTCTCGCGAGAGTTAGAGCTGGAGAGGGAACACAGCGTGTGATGGCCCCTCTGTGCAGCGGCTGCCTCCCTCCAGCATACCACCGGACCACCAGGTGATATCCCCCCTCCCTGACAAGGTAAGAAGCAGGGAGGGGGGAATAAAATAAAAATATACATAAAGTAAAAAAATGCTTCCCCCCACACATCATCCAGCACACACACACACACACCCATCATCCAGCACTCACACACCCATCATCCAGCACACACACACACACAATCCAGCACTCACACACCCATCATCCAGCACTCACACACACACCCATCATCCAGCACTCACACACACACCCATCATCCAGCACTCACACACACACCCATCATCCAGCACTCACACACACACCCATCATCCAGCACTCACACACACACCCATCATCCAGCACTCACACACACATCATCCAGCACACACACACATCATCCAGCACACACACACACACATCATCCAGCACACACACACACATCCAGCACACACACCCATCATCCAGCACGCACACACACACCCATCATCCAGCACGCACACACACACCCATCATCCAGCACACACACACACATCATCCAGCACGCACACACACGTCATCCAGCGCGCACACACACATCATCCAGCACGCGCACACACACATCATTCAGCACACGCACACACTGCATTCATTATACACACTCTTCACACACTACAAACACACTACATTCACTATACACCCTCTGCATTCACTATACACCCTCTGCATTCACTATACACACTCTGCATTCATTATGCACATTCTGCACTAACTACACACTACATTCACTATACACACTCTACATTCACTACAAACACACTACATACACTGCATTCATTGTACACACTCTGCACTCACTACAAACACACTAAATTCATTATACACACTCTGCATTCATTATACACACTCTGCACTCACTACAAAAACACTACATTTATTATACACACTGCACTCACTACAAATACACTACATTTATTATACACACTGCACTCACTACAAATACACTACATTCATTATACACACTCTGCACTCACTAAAACACACTGCATTCATTATACACACTCTGCACTCACTACAAATACACTACAATTATTATTCACACTGCATTCACTACAAACACACTACATTCATTATACACGCACTGCACTATATGCATAGGAGTGTAATTTTTTTTAATTTTATTTTTTAAGGGGGGGGGGGGAGGGGGATATCTTGGGTGAGTTCCCACACTTTTTTCCCCAGGACTTGACCCCTGGCTAACTACAATAAACATCTGACCTCTGTGATTGCCAACAAGGGTTTTGCCTATAAGTACTGAGTGTAAGGGCTCAAATACTTATAAATTGATTTGCATGTCAATGATTTTTTGACATGCATTTTTCTGTATTTTCTTTGTCTGTTACTGTCTCTCACTGTTAAAATACACTTACCATTAAAATTTTAGACTGAAAGTTTCTTTGTCAGTGGGCAAACGTTCAATATCAGCAGGGGATAAAATACTTTTTCCCCTCAAAAATTACTGAACTAAAGTCAGTTCAAAACTTTTAAAATGTTGAATCAAAATTTCAATTATTCTGAAAGATATTCTGTTTCTCCTCCAACGTTGATAAAAATGGAATGTAATTTACCTTGTTGAGTCACATTTCGTCACTCTCAACCCCAAGCACTAATTCTAACCCCTTCTCACTTACGTGTAATGTAAGCATGTATGCATTAAAATAAGTCTAACACGTCTGTTTTTTTTTTAACATTTGAAAATTTACATTATCTGCATTTTATATTTGCATAAAGAGGCGGAGAATGAAGACGAGTGCCATACCTTTAAACAGTTGTAGTTTGAGAGCAGTGTGTAGACTATACCGTGTTTATGCAAAATATACTGCACTTGTTTCTGGCAGAGATCACTGCAATGGTGGATCTGAGATGCACGCTATGGCTGTTTATTGCAATGCTTTCTATTTCTTCAACAGGTAACTTTTTTCTGATAAATATTTTTTTTTTGTTAAATTGTCTTTACTAGTTTCATGCCTTAATCAGTAATAAGGTTTGTAGCAGTTGCTGTGCCTTGTGGGTTATAATGAAAGAAATTCTCCAGACACTTAAGGTGTTAAAGCCACAGGTAGTTTTAATGAAACAAAAAAGAGAGCAGCAACATTTCGACCTACTATGAGGTCTTTGTCAAGCTAACACCACTAAACAAACATGAGTATATATATCGCTGGCTAACACCACAAAGCAAACATGAGTGTATATATAGCAATGATTGTAGAAAGCCACTAGAGGAGGAGTTAACCCCGCAAGGTAATTATTGCAGTTTATGAAAACTGCAATAATTACAGTTGCAGGGTTAAAGGTAGTGGGAGTTCGCACCCAGACCACTCCAATGGGCAGAAGTGGTCTTGGTGCCTGGAGTGTCCCTTTACTAGTGGGAGTGAAATGCTGCATCAGCCACCATGGCACTGTGTGTGGAATCAGGGCTCTAGTGAAGTCCAGCTGGGTATATGATGTCTGGAAAAACGTCTGAAGACAATTGGCTGCTATCTTGGTGAGCTTAATATTTTTATTTAAACGGCCTGTAAGACTGTACTAAAGTAGTATTCTTGGTGGTTTGGGCAACAGAATGGTATAGAGGTGTGTAAAAGACTGTGGAGGAGTATTATCAACATAACTTTTAATAAAGGGGGCTGTTTAAGTGGGTGTGACTTGCCCCTTAAATAATATAAAGTATTCTTTATTGAAACCATCTGTCTATAACAACAGGCCATTTCATATCCACATAGACCACCTGTAATCTTAATTGTAAGCAGTTTCAGTGGTGTATTTAGTTTTTATGCCTCAATAGGCAACCCCCAAACTAAATTTGCACAACCCATTCCTGTAAATGCCCCATCCTTTTTGCTTAAGACCAACATACAATTTGACTGACAGACACTCTCCCTCACTGATACACATACACTGACATACAGTTACTGACAGACACACAGTCATTGGCACACATGCTGCTTAACCAACATACACTTGCACTGACAGACACACACTGACACATCTACTCACTGACATACACACTCTCTGAAATACACACATACACTGATATACATACATTCTCACTGATTTGACACAATGATAGACACATACACTCAGTGACAAATACACATTGTCACTGTTTAGCCACACACACACTCACTCTCACTGACAGACTCTACTTACCCAAAATGTAGCTTGGCCTCGCAGTGAGATTTAATCTCTCCCAGCTGCGGCGTAAATTAATAGAGTTAAAGAGCTCTATGCTCATCTGTTTGTCTGAGGCCACAAAAAATGGACCCAGCTGGAAGAGGAGAACCCCAGGTATCTGTTGATACCTAGTCTACTGGTATAAGTAGGAATTAACCTTGCTCACACTGCAATCAATATGTAGGCATTTAAATTCATATTTAAAAAACTGCATTTAGCGCTGCATGTAGCTCATCAAAAAGTCTGAAAGCACTAAAAATGGCACCATGGGGCTGTCTGGTGTGAGCAGGCATTTAACAGCAGGTCTTACATGCCTGTTGAGGAGGGTAATAAGAAGCTCTACAATGGCTTTAAAGGACACTGTAGGCACCCAGACCACTTCAGCTCATTGAAGTGGTCTGGGTGCAAACTCCCATCACTCTTAACACTGAGCATGTAATTATTGCAGGTTCTATAAACTGCAATAATTACCTCTGAGGGTTAACTCTTCCTCTAGTGGCTGTCTACTAGAGGGACTTCTTGAATTGAAACTGACTTTTGGTCTGTTATTTGACGCTGGATGTCCTCACGCTCTGCATGAGGACCTCCAGCGTTAGATTTTCCCCATAGGAAAGCATTGAATAATGCTTTCCTATGGGGAGATCCTAATGCGAACGCGGCCATTGCAGCACATGCATATTAGGTCTCCCCCTTCTGGTGGGGGAGGAGCGTGGGCGGAGCTGGGCCAACACAGAGGAACATCGGACCCAGGTAAGTGACAGTGCCGCGGGAAGGGGCCTTGACTTGGGGGAAATCTATAGTGCCAAAGTTTTCCTGGCACTATAGTTTCCCTTTAAGTTGCTGTAGTTGTATTTTAAGACCACTGGCAGGTGATTAACTAAAGTGAGAATGTGAATATATACTTTTGTGTTAATCACTTCTATTTTACAAATAGTTTTACAGCCAACACATTGACTAATATCAGAACAGAAAACTAGCTCTACCAGTCAATCAGGAAGAAGTGGTAGAAACTTGATTCTCGTATACCACTTTAGCCTTAAGCTAAACATGTTAAGCTAAACATTTTTCCTCCCATGTATCACTGATATTTACTGTTAACAGAAGTTATTGTATTTTTAAGTTCCTGTTTTTAGTCCTATGTTATGATGGCAAAATGGAATAAGTCAATCATTGATCGTACGATAAGATAGGAAATAGTACGTGTGACAATACGGCCTTAATATATCGTCCATGGGTATTCTTTTTACATAACGTGCACCACTAAACTGCTCCACTAAATGCTAGGACTCATCTTTGGTAGCGTATGCAGGATATACTGAGCTGGTATCTGGTTGCTATATGATATTCTATCCATACAGTCTTCTGGCAATACTCTTATTAGTAATTACTCTATACAGGACAATGAATAGCCATATCGTGTGAGACCTCAAGGAAGAAACAACACCAGATTCTTTCTGGCAACTCAGCAGAACTCAGACTGTTCATTGTATCTAGATCCAGCTACATAGATCACAGCATACAGTAAAATAAACATTACACAAAACATTCACTAATGGAAATACAGAAGAGGGCACAGAAAAAGAACTACAAAGCTACAAAGTGATTCCTTACACTTGTTACTCCGCCTGTGCCAATACAACCTGGCAACAAAAGGTTATCTTGATTGGACCCACTATTCCTTTAGAGCAATCTCTGGTTACATCAACGCAGCCCTTTGCTGTGGCAGATAGACTTCCTGGCTGCCACAGCAGGTGGACACTCACAGTGCAGAATCTAACTTGATTAGCCCACAAAACACATTTTACACCTAACTATACTTTGCCTGCATGGAGAGCTGCTGTCCCTTGTGTTGACCCACAACAGCATATGCAGACATGTATGTATAATACAGATACACAGATATATAAAAAAAAATAGTAAAAAGGGAGAATATTGAAGAAATTGCTCAAAATCACCAAGTGTGTGTAACTCCAAATCACACCAAATACAACAAACATATTATAATAAATAATATGGTTAGAGCAAAATAGGTGGTGAATAAACCAATCATGAATAAAATATATAAAACATGCAATTTACCATGTATCCGGGTACATCCCAATAAATATAAAACACAGTACATAGTATAGCCTGTATGTGGAAAATGGACGATAATGGAATAAAATCTCCCACTCACGTGGTGCTGAGCCGTTAGAAAGTGGCTCAGACTATAAGCGGCTTAATCGATAATTTGGAGACCACAATGCTGGAACCAGAATAGAGATGTCCACTGTAGAGTTACCACTTCCCTTTATGTAGCTAACAAGTATCTTTATTGGTTACATAAAATACAGCATAAAACGGAATCTCCGATGTTCTCTTTTATGCTGTATTTTATGTAACCAATAAAGATACCTGTTCCTGTACCTACCCCTCTATCTGGCATTTATCCAAGCTACTTAAAGGGAAGTGGTAACTCTACAGTGGACATCTCTCTTCTGGTTCCAGCATTGTGCAACTGTGTTCTTTCTATCTTTACATAATGGAGTCTATAAGACCCCAAAGTGAAACAGAGAAACCCTTTTCTCTCTAACCGATAGAGAAAAGATTGGCTCTCTAATAGTCCTTCAAAAAAAGTGAGTGGTCTCTTAGACTTTACTTTAAACGAGGGAGCAAAATGTAAAAAAGAAAGATTTCTGGCACTTGCCCTTTGTATGTGTAGCAGCTTGAACTTCCCAAACCAGAGTCTCTTCCATCTGGTTGTAGGTGAGAATAGATAAGAGACATTTCCAGAATAAAGAAGAATTGCACAGATGGGGAGATGTGCAATGATCAGGATGTAGTTTGAGGAAAAAGATTCTGATAAAGAATTATTAAGGCAATCTATCTTTTTCCAGACAATAAGGAGACACAAAACAAAGAGATTATTAATTGTCCTTTAATATTTAACTATAGTGCTCAATAATTTATAAAAATTGGACCCTATATTGGGCCAGCTTTTACCCCCAAACCTAGAAAATTGTTTTTAATATTTGTGGGCTTAAAGATTCTATGGCAACGATCCATCATTAATTCGTGGGAATCCAATGATAAATTGAGGGAAATAAAAAAATCTTTCATGAAGTCTTTCAATTTGTCATTTGTTACACTTTCTGGAACATTTCTAAATTTAAAATTTATTCTTCGGGCACGATCTTCCAAGTCTGCTATATTAGTTTCCAGCTGATCAATTTTACGCTCCCTTTCTGTATGCGTGTCTTTAAGAGATTGAATCTGAAATTCCATATGATCTTGTTTTTCTTCTATTGATTGAATTCGGGTTAACACCTTAGAAATATCGTTTTTGAGATCGTTAAAATTTTCTTGGATCTCTTTTTTTATTTCTTTCAAGGTGTTATCTAGAAGTGATTTTATTATTTCTGTGGTAATAGTAGCTGGTTCTGTAGATGACGGAGTCATTGCAAAGAGTCTAAGGAAGGATCTTCACTGGTATCTTGAGTCTTTTGAGGAGAGAAAAATTTGGAAAGTCTCTTTTCCTGTTTTGTATATTTTTTATCGATTTTCAATGAGGCTTTAGGTTCTTGTGAGCGTTTAGAAGCCAGTTAATAGGGGAGAGGAAAAAAAAAAAAAGTTCCCCTTCTTTCAAATCTTAAATTCTTCAATTATCTTTCACTTTATATCTTTCCTTTCTTTTTTATTTTGCCTTCACTTTCTCCTATTCTCTCTTTACTTCCTCTTGTTTTATTTTGTTTGTAAGTCAAGTCCAGTGATTTTTGTTAAGTTGTGCTTATCTAGAAAGTTTCTTAGTTGGTTTGTCTTTTTCTTTTTCCTCTTTCCCTCTCTTTCCTTTATATTTTCTGCTTCCTTTTCTCCCCTCTGCTTTTTTTTGTATTTTCCTTTCCTTTTCAGTATTGATAATCTTTACTTATTTTGGTCACAGCATTCAATTGAGCTTATATATAAAGAGTAAATATACAGAGAGTAGATGGCATTTAAAATGAAAGGGAGTTGAGTTGCTCTATTGTTCCTCTTTCCCCTTTCTATTTTTCTTATTTCTTTATCTGGGTTTCAAAGGTTTTCTCCTCTTTTTAACCTTTAGAGGTAGTTATACTGTCTCTTTAAATTTTCTTATAATTTCACTTATTAAATATATTTCCTCTTTCTTTTTCTTTTTGTTCTTCCCTCTCTGTCCTCTTTCATTTCAATAATCTCCACTTTCTTTACATTAAAAAAAAAAGAGAAGAAAAAAAAATAAAAAAATTTTGTTTTCTTTTTTTTTTTTTACCTTTTTAGGATTGTGTTCTTATATATTCTTATATGCTGTATTTTTCAATTAGAGGCAGTAGGGGATCTAGGGCATCATCAGTAGAGAGCAAAGATTAGAAAGCCAAGGGATTCTCATTGATGCCAGCTGTCGCTCACTCACGGTCTGATGGCGGAACGGTCCGATAAGATCTCGCCAGACTATCTTTTATTCAGAGTCACCTGTGTGGGTGCAGCTCAGCGAAAGTGGAGGAAGCTCGAGGAGAGGAGAGGAGATCTCAAACAGAGATCATCTGTTCAGCGGTTGTATTTCTATTTGGCAGTTGTATTTTCAGTTTGATATCGGCGTGGTTTAGCTTCTAGCTCGCACGGGTCATGTCCAGCAGGTCCCTCCCCCCAACGGCACGCAGCCCTTCTGGTTTACGTCATCACGCCACCGGAAATCTATTTATAAACAGGACTATACATAAGGATACCCCTTTTCCCACAACAAATTCTAACCAACCAAAATATGATAAAAAATATACCTATTAGTGGAGTGCTATAGGGATACAACCTGTGCAGGGGTTTATTTTCTTAACCCACAATTTTAGTAATAAAATGAACGTCAAAATACATAAAGGAGAAAATAAAAAATAGTGTAGATGGTCTAGAAGTCACGATAAATTATAGAAAAGGCTAAAAACCACTCACATTTAGTGGAGCCTATAAAATATTGGCTGTGTGAGATTAACTTTTGTGTTCTTATGACAGCATTACCCCACTTCCTCTGTAATGTTTCCTCCAAATGGGATATAAGGAGAGAAGCAACCAATGTGTAGTATTTAAATTTTAAAACCTTAAAATCATAAAATAGGTATTAAGCTTATCTTTTATAGAGCCTTCAATTCCTGGCTCTAAGGATAACAAGCAGATTGCCAATTTTCTGCCAAGCAGAAAAAAGCAGCTTGGTGAGAAGGTGACAACAGTTGGTGCGATTATTTGCAAATGGAAGAAACACAAAATAACTGTCAGTCTCCCTCGGTCTGGTGCTCCATGCAAGATCTTACCTCGTGGAGTTTCAATGTTCATGAGATTGGTGAGGAATCAGCCCAGAGTCACCAAGAAAACAATTGGTAACACACTACACCATAAAGGACTGAAATCCTGCAGCGCCCGCAAGGTCCCCCTGCTCAAGAAAGCTAATGTACAGGCCCGTCTGAAGTTTGCCAATGAACATCTTAATGATTCAGAGGAGAACTGGGTGAAAGTGTTGTGGTCAGATGAGACCAAAATCAAGCTCTTTGTCATCAACTCAACTCACCGTGTTTGGAGGAGGAGGAATGCTGCCTATGACCCCAAGAACACAATCCCCACCGTCAAACATGGAGGTGGAAACATTATGCTTTGGGGGTGCTTTTCTGCTAAGGGGAAAGGACAACTGCACTGCATCAAAGTGACGATGGACAGGCCATGTACTGTCAAATCTCGTGTGAGAACATCCTTCCCTCAGCCAGGGCATTGAAAATGGGTCATGGATGGGCATTCCAGCATGACAATGACCCAAAACACACAGCCAAGGCAACAAAGGAGTGGCTTAAGAAGAAGCACATTAAGGTCCTGGAGCCTCCAGACCTTAATCCCATAGAAATTCTGTGGAGGGAGCTGAAGGTCAGCCTCGAAACCTTAATGACTTGAAGAGGATCTGCAAAGAGGAGTGGGACAAAATCGCTCCTGAGATATGTGCAAACCTGGTGGCTAACTACAATAAACATCTGACCTCTGTGATTGCCAACAAGGGTTTTGCCTATAAGTACTGAGTGTAAGGGCTCAAATACTTATAAATTGATTTGCATGTCAATGATTTTTTGACATGCATTTTTCTGTATTTTCTTTGTCTGTTACTGTCTCTCACTGTTAAAATACACTTACCATTAAAATTTTAGACTGAAAGTTTCTTTGTCAGTGGGCAAACGTTCAATATCAGCAGGGGATCAAATACTTTTTCCCCTAAAAAATTACTGAACTAAAGTCAGTTCAAAACTTTTAAAATGTTGAATCAAAATTTCAATTATTCTGAAAGATATTCTGTTTCTCCTCCAACGTTGATAAAAATGGAATGTAATTTACCTTGTTGAGTCACATTTCGTCACTCTCAACCCCAAGCACTAATTCTAATCCCTTCTCACTTACGTGTAATGCAAGCATGTATGCATTAAAATAAGTCTAACACGTCTGTCTGTTTTTGAAGGGTTTTTTTTTAACATTTGAAAATTTACATTATCTGCATTTTATATTTGCATAAAGAGGCGGAGAATGAAGACGAGTGCCATACCTTTAAACAGTTGTAGTTTGAGAGCAGTGTCTAGACTATACCGTGTTTATGCAAAATATACTGCACTTGTTTCTGGCAGAGATCACTGCAATGGTGGATCTGAGATGCACGCTATGGCTGTTTATTGCAATGCTTTCTATTTCTTCAACAGGTAACTTTTTTCTGATAAATATTTTTTTGTTGTTAAATTGTCTTTACTAGTTTCATGTTTATGAAAACTGCAATAATTACAGTTGCAGGGTTAAGGGTAGTGGGAGTTCGCACCCAGACCACCCCAATGGGCAGAAGTGGTCTTGGTGCCTGGAGTGTCCCTTTATTAGTGGGAGTGAAATGCTGCATCAGCCACCATGGCACTGTGTGTGGAATCAGGGCTCTAGTGAAGTCCAGCTGGGTATATGATGTCTGGAAAAACGTCTGTAGACAATTGGCTGCTATCTTGGTGAGCTTAATATTTTTATTTAAAAGGGCTGTAAGACTGTACTAAAGTAGTATTCTTGGCTGGTTTGGGCAACAGAATGGTATAGACGTGTGTAAAAGACCGTGGAGGAGTATTATCAACATAACTTTTAATAAAGGGGGCTGTTTAAGTGGGTGTGACTTGCCCCTAAAATAATATAAAGTATTCTTTATTGAAACCATCTGTCTATAACAACAGGCCATTTCATATCCACATAGACCACCTGTAATCTTAATTGTAAGCAGTTTCAGTGGTGTATTTAGTTTTTATGCCTCAATAGGCAACCCCCAAACTAAATTTGCACAACCCATTCCTGTAAATGCCCCATCCTTTTTGCTTAAGACCAACATACAATTTGACTGACAGACACTCTCCCTCACTGATACACATACACTGACATACATTTACTGACAGACACACAGTCATTGGCACACATGCTGCTTAACCAACATACACTTGCACTGACAGACACACACTGACACATCTACTCACTGACATACACACTCTCTGAAATACACACATACACTGATATACATACATTCTCACTGATTTGACACAATGATAGACACACACACTCACTGATAGTCACATACACTCAGTGACAAACACACATTGTCACTGTTTAGCCACACACTCACTCTCACTGACAGACTCTACTTACCCAAAATGTAGCTTGGCCTCGCAGTGAGATTTAATCTCTCCCAGCTGCGGCGTAAATTAATAGAGTTAAAGAGCTCTATGCTCATCTGTTTGTCTGAGGCCACAAAAAATGGACCCAGCTGGAAGAGGAGAACCCCAGGTATGTGTTGATACCTAGTCTACTGGTATAAGTAGGAATTAACCTTGCTCACACTGCAATCAATATGTAGGCATTTAAATTCATATTTAAAAAACTGCATTTAGCGCTGCATGTAGCTCATCAAAAAGTCTGAAAGCACTAAAAATGGCACCATGGGGCTGTCTGGTGTGAGCAGGCATTTAACAGCAGGTCTTACATGCCTGTTGAGGAGGGTAATAAGAAGCTCTACAATGGCTTTAAAGGACACTGTAGGCACCCAGACCACTTCAGCTCATTGAAGTGGTCTGGGTGCAAACTCCCATCACTCTTAACACTGAGCATGTAATTATTGCATGTGGCTGTCTACTAGAGGGACTTCCTGAATTGAAACTGACTTTTGGTCTGTTATCTGACGCTGGATGTCCTCACGCTCTGCATGAGGACCTCCAGCGTTAGATTCTCCCCATAGGAAAGCATTGAATAATGCTTTCCTATGGGGAGATCCTAATGCGAACGCGGCCATTGCAGCACATGCATATTAGGTCTCCCCCTGCTGGTGGGGGAGGAGCGTGGGCAGAGCTGGGCCAACACCGAGGAACATCGGACCCAGGTAAGTGACAGTGCCGCGGGAAGGGGCCTTGACTTGGGGGAAATCTATAGTGCCAAAGTTTTCCTGGCACTATAGTTTCCCTTTAAGTTGCTGTAGTTGTATTTTAAGACCACTGGCAGGTGATTAACTAAAGTGAGAATGTGAATATATACTTTTGTGTTAATCACTTCTATTTTACAAATAGTTTTACAGCCAACACATTGCCTAATATCAGAACAGAAAACTAGCTCTACCAGTCAATCAGGAAGAAGTGGTAGAAACTTGATTCTCGTATACCACTTTAGCCTTAAGCTAAACATGTTTCCCCCCATGTATCACTGATATTTACTGTTAACAGAAGTTATTGTATTTTTAAGTTCCTGTTTTTAGTCCTATGTTATGATGGCAAAATGGAATAAGTCAATCATTGATCGTACGATAAGATAGGAAATAGTACGTGTGACAATACGGCCTTAATATATCGTCCATGGGTATTCCTTTTACATAACGTGCACCACTAAACTGCTCCACTAAATGCTAGGAGTCATCTTTGGTAGCGTATGCAGGATATACTGAGCTGGTATCTGGTTACTATATGATATTCTATCCATACAGTCTTCTGGCAATACTCTTATTAGTAATTACTCTATACAGGACAATGAATAGCCATATCGTGTGAGACCTCAAGGAAGAAACAACACTTGTTTCTTTCTTGGCAACTCAGCAGAACTCAGACTGTTTATTGTATCTAGATCCAGCTACATAGATCACAGCATACAGTAAAATAAACATTACACAAAACATTCACTAATGGAAATACAGAACAGGGCACAGAAAAAGAACTACAAAGCTACAAAGTGATTCCTTACACTTGTTACTCCGCCTGTGCCAATACAACCTGGCAACAAAAGGTTATCTTGATTGGACCCACTATTCCTTTAGAGCAATCTCTGGTTACATCAACGCAGCTCTTTGCTGTGGCAGATAGACTTCCTGGCTGCCACAGCAGGTGGACACTCACAGTGCAGAATCTAACTTGATTAGCCCACAAAACACATTTCACACCTAACTATACTTTGCCTGCATAGAGAGCTGCTGTCCCTTGTGTTGACCCACACCTGAATATGCAGACATGTATGTATAATATAGATACACAGATATATAAAAAAAATAGTAAAAAGGGAGAATATTGAAGAAATTGCTCAAAATCACCAAGTGTGTGTAACTCCAAATCACACCAAATACAACAAACATATTATAATAAATAATATGGTGAGAGCAAAATAGGTGGTGAATAAACCAATCATGAATAAAATATATAAAACATGCAATTTACAATGTATCCGGGTACATCCCAATAAATATAAAACACAGTACATAGTATAGCCTGTATGTGGAAAATGGACGATAATGGAATAAAATCTCCCACTCACGTGGTGCTGAGCCGTTAGAAAGTGGCTCAGACTATAAGCGGCTTAATCGATCATTTGGAGACCACAATGCTGGAACCAGAATAGAGATGTCCACTGTAGAGTTACCACTTCCCTTTATGTAGCTAACAAGTATCTTTATTGGTTACATAAAATATAGCATAAAACGGAATCTCCGATGTTCTCTTTTATGCTGTATTTTATGTAACCAATAAAGATACCTGTTCCTGTACCTACCCCTCTATCTGGCATTTATCCAAGCTACTTAAAGGGAAGTGGTAACTCTACTGTGGACATCTCTCTTCTGGTTCCAGCATTGTGCAACTGTGTTCTTTCTATCTTTACATAATGGAGTCTATAAGACCCCAAAGTGAAACAGAGAAACCCTTTTCTCTCTAACCGATAGAGAAAAGATTGGCTCTCTAATAGTCCTTCAAAAAAAGTGAGTGGTCTCTTAGACTTTACTTTAAACGAGGGAGCAAAATGTAAAAAAGAAAGATTTCTGGCACTTGCCCTTTGTATGTGTAGCAGCTTGAACTTCCCAAACCAGAGTCTCTTCCATCTGGTTGTAGGTGAGAATAGATAAGAGACATTTCCAGAATAAAGAAGAATTGCACAGATGGGGAGATGTGCAATGATCAGGATGTAGTTTGAGGAAAAAGATTCTGATAAAGAATTATTAAGGCAATCTATCTTTTCCAGACGATAAGGAGACACAAAACAAAGAGATTATTAATTGTCCTTTAATATTTAACTATAGTGCTCAATCATTTATAAAAATTGGAACCTAGGGTTACATGACACTATATTGGGCCAGCTTTTATCCCCAAACCTAGAATTATTTTCAGAGGAGCACCAACAATTAAACCAAAACTGGTCCATAGTTTTAAACCTCCTGACCCTGAAAGGCACTTTCTGAATGACCAAAAAGGCTTTTATAAATGGGGGCAGTGTAATATCTGCAAAACAATAAGACCACCATTTAGGAAGATCACAAGCTTTTACTCATATAGGACAAAAAAAAATATATAAGATTGAAGACTGCATCACATGTCACTCAAAACATGTAATTTACTTGCTAGAGTGTGTTTAGGGTCTTCAATATGTGGGACAAACTAGAAGATATTTAAAAACAAGACTCAGGGAACATGTCTACAATATAAAAAGAACATGACAGCAAACCCAGCACCCTACAGCAGTGATGGCGAACATTTTTGAGCCCAAGTACCCAAACTGCAATACAAACCAAGTTTTTTTCCTCAAAATGCCAAAAAAAAACAACTCATACAGTTGCCCTCCATCCCACCCACCCACCCACTAATGAAAGCAGACGCCTGCCATTTTGGGCAGGCAAGTGCCTTCTTTGCATTGCCCCTGGAGGGACCTATGGCTGCCGACCGGCACCCCCCAGGTGACTAGGGTGACCACATTTCCTAACTGCCATTCATGGACACTTACTTTCATGAGAGCATTTCATCAAATTTATACTTGAGATTGGCAAAAACATATCTGCCAGTGCATTTTTCAGTATTTCTGCAAACATTAACTGGCTACTTAGACACACACATACTCACAGATACACACTGACACTCACAGATACACATACACTCACATATATACACTGACACACACACACACACACACACAGAGATGTTCACAGATGCACAGACACTCGGAAATACACATTGACACTCACAGATTCACAGATACACACACACACAGACACTGACATACACAGACACTCACCGATATACATACACACATCGACACTCACAGATACACATACACTGACACACACAGACACTCACATATACACATTGACACTCACAGAAACGCACACACTGACACACACACACATGTTCACAGATGCACAGACACTCACATATACACATTGACACTCACATACACACACACACACACACACACACTGACATACACAGACACTCACAGATACACATACACACATCGACACTCACAGATACGCACACACTGACACACACATGTTCACAGCTGCACAGACACTCACAGCTGCACAGACACTCACAGATACACACACACACACTGACATACACAGACACTCACAGATACACATACACACATCGACACTCACAGATACACATACACTCACATATATACACTGAAACTCACAGATACGCACACACACACACACACACACACACTCACAGACACTCAATGAGACACACAAACACATACCTAAACATACACATGGGCAAAACACAAATTGCATTTTACATTTGTTAACCTTCCTCTGCTCCCACATACCTTTTGTTTGCAGGGTGGTTAATTCCTGGGGCTGGCTGATGATGGGAGTCTGAAGGAGAAGCTACAGAGCTCTCTCTCCTGCTTCTTCCTCCTCTCTCAGTTGCTTCTTCAGTGTTCTATCAGCCCGCGCGGTCTGTATGCTGGGAGGAAGTAACAGTCACTTTCTCCCAGCACTCTCTGCAACTTTAAAGGGTCTGCCAAAGGGCTGCAGCACCCCGACTGGGTCCCTGATGAGGTAGTTCACCTATGGGAGCTGGATTTATTTCTCAGGAGGGGCAATTGCCCCCTTGCTCCTCCCCCCTGGATCCGCCACTGTCCCGGAATGAGGGTGCCTCTCAAAATGTGGGACTATCCCTGGCAATCCGGGACATGTGCAGTGCTATCTTAACAGCATTATGGGCCCCCGGGCAAAGCAGTGCACCGGGGCCCTGCCTACACAACAACTTACAGGAATTAAAAAGGTAAATTATTCTTTCTTCTCCTTTACCTTTGTGCTCCTTGCGGCCCTTTCTAGCTCCTTTTTTCCCCCTACTGCTACTCCTTCAACTTTACCTTTGTGCTCCTTCTGTCCATTTCTGCTCCTTGCAGACCATTCCTGCCCCTTGCTGATCCTTCCAGCTCCTTGTGACTTTTCCCGCTCCTTCTCCAACTTTACCTTTGTGCTCCTTCTGATTCCTTCTGCTCCTTTACCATTGTGCTCCTTCTGTGCCTTCCCTTCCTACTCCTTGCTGCCCCTTTCTGCAACTTGCTGACCCTTCCTGCCCCTTTTTGCCCCTTTCTGCTCCTTACTGACCCTTCCTGATCCTTGCTGACTCTTTCTGTTCCTTTCTGCTCCTTATCCTACTTTACCTATGTGCTCCTTCTGATTCTTTCTGCTTCTTTACTTTTGTGCTCCTTCTGATTCTTTCTGCTTCTTTACCTTTGTGCTCCTTCTGTCCTTTCCCGCTCATTGCTGACCATTTCTTCTCCTTGCTGATCCTTCCTGCTCCTTGCTGACCATTCCTGCTCCTTGCTGACCCTTTCTGCTCCTTCTCCTACTTTACCTTTGTGCTCCTTCTGTCCATTCCTGCTCCTTGCTACCCTTTCCTGTAAGCTGTCTCCCCATCTGTCACGTCCTGTTCTTGTTGTGGATCATTTCTGGCCTTGGCTTCTGATATCCAGTACTCTTTTTACAATTCTTGTTTAGTTTTTCTTGGTTTTTCTAGTTTTCTATTCTATGCTGGGTTTTCTGGGTTCATTCCTTTATTCCGTTACTGGCATTCCCAGTATCCTGGATTCCTTTCTATGTTTGTTTTTTGTTGCCACAACCGTTCCTTTGCCATTTATCCTTTTTGTTTCAGTGTTCCCTGAGGGCAGTGGTCTCATTCCTCTGCCCTTTTCCTTGCAGGTAAGTACTGTGTGTGTTTTATTGTTGTACTTTTAGTCATCCATATCTAGGCAGTTAGGACCCACTGTAATTGGAGTACTTTGGCGCAGTGGTGGGCTGCATACATCTTGGCCATTTATGTATGTCTAAATCTCCAATGTTTATTACATAAATAGTACTTGCTTATTTCTCCTCTTGTTTTGCCTTCTATTTCTTGTCTTGTTTCATTTTGTCTTGTATTCCCAGTTCATGTCCTCTCCTGTTCTTGTTTCCCTCATGTATTATGTACATGTTCTGGGTTCTGCTTTCTGTTGTGCTTCGGTTCTGAGTTCTTCTAGTCTTGTCTTGTTTGGTGCCTTTTCTAGTCTTGCCTAGTTTCTAGTACTGGATACCTGTCTGCATAATATCAAGCTCTTAGGATCTGCAGAAGCTGTATCAGGGCTTTAGTAGGTGGCTGCACAAACCCTGGTGCTCAACACCAGGGGGCATGTGGTTACCCTGCACCAGACCCTGGTAGTTCATTTCCACGCCGTGACTACTGCCATCATCAGGCAAAGTGGCGTACATACAGGGGTCGCAGGTGCGACCAGGCCCGTCACACCAGGGGGCCCAGCTGCCCTGCGGACCCCTGCGACCAGATGCCTGTCGCCATGTGTTGCGGCCCCAACCCACGCGTTAAAACTGCCAGGGCCGCACATGAAGGGGCCCATCGGGTGGCCCATGCTGTTAGGGCCACCCGTTGGCTATGTATTTCAAGGGGGCCCGGTCAGCGCGACCGGGCGCCCTGAGATGACATCAGATGCTGGAAGGAAGTGACTGCCCCTGTCACTCCTCCCAGCTATCAGACAGAGCCGCGCGAGAGGATGAGAGGAGGAAGTCAGAGTGGGAGCTCTGACTACCATCAGGCTGAGCCACCACTGAACCCCAGGGAAGTCACCCTCCTGCATCTAAAAGGTAGGAAGCAGGAGGGTGACTGTTTGTATGTATGTTTGTGTGTCTGTATGAATGTTTCTCTGTCTGTGTGTGTATGTGCATGTGTGTGTTTGTATGTGTGTGTGTGTGTATATATGTGTCTCTGCATGTATGTGTATGTATGTATGTGTGCTTGTATGTATGTGTGTTTGTATGTATGTGCCTGTCTGTATATATGTGTCTCTGTTTGTGTTTGTATGTGTGTGTGTGTGTACAGTGGCGTACATGCATAAGTCGCAGCTGCGACTGGGCCCATGGGGAGCACGGATCAGTTTTTGCACTGGGGCCACATGAATCATGTATACGCCACTGATCAGGCATACAAGGGTCCTGGACACCATCCCTTACTTACCTGATCTGTAGGCTGTCTCTGCAGTCTGAAAGTTGCTGGCTGCACTCTGTGCTGCTCCCCTGGATTCAGTCAGGAGACAGAAGCAGGAATAAGCTGTATCTTCCTATCCCTGCCTCTCTCCACACACAGCCTCACCTACTTGCCGGTGCCGGCATTGCAGTTTATTCTCATTCACACCGGGGGGGACAAGAAGTGTTTATATTCAGTGTATTTTGATGAGCCAGTAATTAGTTCTCCAGTAATATAGGAAAAAATATGAAAACAGGAAATAGTGCTCTCTGTGATGTTAAAATTATAAAATAATAAAAGGAGATATACTCACAAAGGAAGAGCAAGTAGATATTGCTCGATCCTAAACAGCATAGGTAAAATGTTCCCCACCAAGGAATGTGAGATGCAGCGTCCTCCAAGTAAAATCCTCAAGAATACAGTTAGGGAAGTCCAGAGATGAATAAAAACTAGTTTTATTAATAAACAAGATGATAAAAAAAAAACTAACGCGTTTCACCTATATAAAGGACTTTTCAAAGTGTTACAGTGCAAAGGACCTTCACTGTTTAAATACCTCTAAAATGCAAATAAAACGGTCAGATGATATCATTGAACAGACATAAAAATCAATTAACTTAAAAAACCCATAAAATTAGAACACCATAAAATAGAGATCAGAAAGGATATAAGAATCTTATGTAAAGTATAAAACATACTTAAAACGATTTGTATTTAATAAATAAAATATTTTTCATACTGCTTCATTGGAGTCTGGAAATAAGGACTCAATCTGAAAGCGTTGCTTCCCGACATTTCCATTATTTAAACCAGGTCTAGCAAATTACCTGTCACCTCTCTCCACCTTGTGTGCAGGGGGTGATGGGGAAATGTAATCATGTGATGCATGGTACAGGGCCAGACTGTGAATAAAAAGCTGTATTGGAATAATTTGTATAGCGGCCGCTTATGCATTTTTTCAATATTGTGTGCAGATACACAAATAGGAAAATAATTTATATTGAAAATTATTTCTCCAACATGAAGGATCGCACTTACAGGTTTTCAAAATAACCAAAAGAGCAACTTACTCTAAGCAGATGTATTACATCAATATTTAGCCCCATTAACTTGCCATCTTGTGAAAAGTTTGTTAATGAGAATGCAACATTGATTGTATGCTAGAAACGTTGACATAGATTGATGGTAAATCAATTTCGAGTTATTTTTCTTTAGTTGCACTTCAGTTGCAAAAACGTGTTCCCCCCTCGTTTTTTTGTTTTTTTTTTTAATAATGTTTTGGGAATACATATACCTATTATACATATATGTATTATGGAAAACAATAGACTTAGAGATTCATTTTGGTCCAGACTGCAAATCACCTGAATATTGGACAATCGGTGATCGGTTTAATTTAAGAACTTTGTGCTCAAATATATCTGAATCATAAACCAACTGAAATGCGCAATGGCCAAGCATGTTCGGTTTGGTTTGTAATTCCGAATAAATAAATAAATAAATAAATAAATATTCTATATTTAATAGATATATAATATATAAACTTAATTTTTTTTTACTGCTCCTCCTGTGTTTTCCTCTATTGGTTACATTTGCTCACTTGATCTATGTAATCACCTAATGCCAGGAAAATACTCATATCAGGGTACTTCCATAGAATGAACACATTTGGTTCAGAAGTTGCGCAATTGCCTCTGTCCCATGTACTGGTATTATATTGTTTGTTTATATATTATATAAACAATAGTTTATAAAAATCACTCTTGCTATCACAGAATGAAGTTCCAGGAACTCAAGACTTAATCCCTCTAATCTATATTCAGGGAAGTTTCCCCGAACATAGACATGTGCACCAGAGCAGGGAATCCCCACGACCAGGCGTAAGTGCGAGCCTTTGTAAAACAGGTAGGTCGCTAAATGAGGACCACCTGTAATGAGTGACATTAATAGATGGACCAGGAGTTGCCCAGTCTACTGGTCCAAATAAGTGTAGTGTCAGAAGTTGCCCAATTCTCCAAACTTTTCAGATTCTTGATAATGTGAAGAGTCTGACTCTGTTTGCATAACCTCATCTATAGAAGCATCATCTTAGATGTCCCTGTGTCCACTTTCATGACCAGATAAGATTCAAAATAAGATGGTTCAAATAGCTGGTCTATACCGCATTTATTAAATGTCTGAACTATTTTTGTGACAAAGATGGGATATATAGAAAGAAGTACATTTTGGTATTAAAGCTATTATATTTTGAAATATAATGTTGTCTCATTGAGGAGCTCCTGTGTCCTTCCCCCAGCTCACTTGTCTTAATAATTGGTAACTGCTATTTAAACTGCTGTATTCATTTCATGTCTGCCAATTGTGCATGATATTGGGCTTCATGAATATACACTTACTCTCTGTTACCTGCATGGTCTTTGGTCAGATTAGTATTAACAAGAGTTTTACTTTTGTTCTCTACATGTAACCTTTGGGTCCATCAAAATATCAGGTTTATGAGCTCCTTTCTCTTGGTTACATTTTTGTTTAATATTTGTAAGATAATAGCTACTTTTGTTCCCTGTATTTACCAACTGAGGAGCATGTTACTTTTTTCTCAATTGTGGTATTTTATAGAATTTTTTTGTACAAAAGATACAAAAAGAGAGCACCATATAGAAATTGGAACAAAATAAAATATTTCATCCATACACTTGAATCATCAAATAAATCCCTCTTCTAAAATCAGGACCATATTACTTTTGACATCTTGTAATATTCTCATGTGTACAAACCCAACCCTGTTTAACAATTTATTGTTATGGCTAAGAAACCTTGTTTCCTCAACAGCTTAATATATGTGTGGTTTAATCATCACAGACATTTCTATGCATAGTTCACATTTTTAAATAACCTCCTTTGTTTTATATTGCAGATACTGCCTTCAACAGTAGTAATTATATTCCCCAAATTACACTTAAGCCGGTGCTAGGAAAGGTCACAGCTACTACCTTTGTACTGGACATTCCTCAATGTGTCTTTAGTGACTACGCAGGAAGTGATATTTGGCTGGTCATTGCTAAACAAGATGGTAAGGTGGTCTTACTATTACCTCAAATAGTCTATTTCCTTATTGACATTGCCAACCAAAATAAGAAGAGTGAGTTTTTGGTCCTAGATCCTTGGTAATAATTTGTAAAGGGGTTGGCCTTCCCATTGAAGGGGTGGGTCAGCCTAGCATCAAGCACACTTTCCCCCAAATTAAAGGTCCATGCAGAACCATGGTCCTAGTGCCCACTACACAGTGCAAGCATGTTGTTCTCGTCTTGTGCTGCCCCGGGGATGGGGAACTCAATTGGAATGGCAGAACAGGACCAAACTTGTGATAGTTGGTAGGCCTTCCTGAACCAGTGACTGAACTAATGTAGAGATAGAACCTACCGTAATTGGAGTACTTTGACGCAGTGGTGGGCTGCATACATCTTGGCCATTTATGTATGTCTAAATCTCCAATGTTTATTGCACATATTAGTACTTAGTTATGTCTCCTCTTGTTTTGCCTTGCATCTCTGGTCTTGTTTTATTTTGTCTTGTAGTCCCAGTTCATGTGCAGTCCTGTCCTGCCCTGTTCATTTTTCCCTCATGTCTTGTGTACATGCTCTGGGTTCTGCTTTCTGTCCTGCTCCAGTTCTGGGTTCTTCTAGTCTTGTCTTGTTTTCTTGTTTGGTGTCTACTCTAGTCTTGCCTTGTTTCTATACTGGATACATGTCTGCTGAAGAGCCTTCCTATCCAGTTCCTGGGAGGTCTGCATATCATCTAGCTAATAGCTCTTGGGATCCGCAGAAGCTGCATCAGGGCCCTTGTATGTGGCTGCACAAACGCTGGTGCTCAACACCAGGGGGCATGTGGTTACCCTGCACCAGGCCCTGATGGTCCATTACCACGCTGAGACTCCCATCATCATCAGGCACTCAAGTGTCCCGGTCTTCGGATCGCCACCTGTGACAGGGGCATTGGTGCAAGAATTCTTGTGCCCCCCTAAGGGTGGCCAAAAGTTAGATCCACACATGTCATACAACTCCTACAATGTATGGGTGTATTTGTATGCAGTGTTGGTGTTTGAATAAAGGTGGATATTTGTGTGTAGTGTCGGTTTTTGAATGTAGGGGTTTTTATATATATAATGCTGGAGGTTTAATACAGAGGTGTGTTTGTTATGTACTATTGATGTTTGATTCCAACAGTGTGTTTGTATGTAGTGTTGATGTTTGAACGCAAGGGTATATTTGTGTTTAATGTTGGTGTTTTAGATGTATGCACATATGCACATACATTGATACACATGCACACACATATACATACACTAACACACATACAGATACACAGACACACACACTGATACACCTACTGACACAAATGCAGATACACAGACATGCAGAAAAAATTAATCATTGTAGATATAGGCTGGAGAGTGTTAAAAAATATAATGTGGATTTCTAAAACATAACCAGAAAAATAATACTCATTTTCTCTACAGTTGCTTTAACCCTGTCTGATTCAGCTCTCGCAAATAAACGTACATATAATTCATTCTTCGGAAATGGTTACTATCATATCCAGCCATACAGTGGAATTACTTACCCGTGTTCCAATGACTTTAATTACACTCGAGTTGGCAATGGTGATAGCTGTAATGAAATAGAATTCTGCAATGGTCCTTTAAATTCATCACTGGCATATAGGTAAGTTATTGTCACGATATTGAATAGTAAAAATGCAATTATTTGATAATTATAAATATTTATAAAAACAAAATATTATATGTCCTGATGTAAACAAATGTACAGCAAGTTTTCTTTAAAATGATGGTAATTTGACTAATCTGAGACCATTTTAGTATGGTTTGTCTTCTAAGTGGCTATGGATTGGTCCTTTAATATAAAATGTGACTAGAATTTCATGCATTGAAAGAAATAAGATTGAACTTCTCATGGTAGTAAATGAAGCCATGGTAGTTTAGTAATGTAAGTTAGATTTGATTCAAATAAAGTGTGGGAAGGCTAAGGTGACAGGGTGATTGTGTTGGGTGAGTGTAGCAAGGTGACTGTTCGTGGAGGGGATGAGAGTGTTTTGGGGGAGTGAGTGTGACAGGGTGATTGAGGGGTGTGCATGTAACAGAATGACCACAAAGGGGGTAAATTTGACAGGGTGACTGTGTGTCTCAAAGGGATGCATGTTCCTTTAAATTTCTTCTTATTTCTGTGACTAACAAGAAGACTTGAGTGGTTATAGTGACGTTTTATATATAGTCCGCAGCCTCAGATAAGGAATAATTTGCTTATTACTTATTACAAGGGGCCCTTACATATAATATTCTGAGCATGGATAATGTTTGGGTCGTGAGTGGCTGTCCAGAGTGCATTCATCTGGTTAGAGTATAAGGCATTTAGACTGAACTTTGGCGCACTTGCAAACCATGCGATTCTCTCTCGGTGTGATATTTAGTAGATTTACGATATTGGCACACAACGGCAGAATTTTACATAAAGCAGTTCTGTCACTTTAAGAACTTTAATAGCAAGCAACTTACTTACTATTTCCTTGTAAGTTGGAATTGAGTCTTTTTTTAGAAGGCAATGATAATAATTAATACAATTATTAAAGTGCTCTTCTTATTTGAAGATAATAAAAAAGTATGAGGAATCAATTGAATTGAGCAAAAAAAAAATAAAAATGATTTGCAGCTTGGTTGTTAGGCACGTAGAAAGCAAATTAGTGGAGTAGATTTAACTTAAGGCTATTAGAGGGTTAAAGTCTTTGTAAGGTATCAAGCAATTAGATGATTAAAGTCTTTGCAGAATGAATCCTTGCAAACAGAAATAATTTCTAATAACTTAACTTGTGGAGGTTTTCCTGAAGGATAGTCCAGGTCCTTTCCATGGTCAAGCAGGCAGAGAGATCAACAGAGTCGGTATAGAATAGGCAGGGGTTCGGTACACAGTTCAATAGTTGATAGGGAGCTCAATCACAACTATGAATCACTTAGCCACAAATTAACTGAGCGATTCAAAGTTGCCGCGGCTCTCCTATATTGCAGGGCGTGTCAGATGCATTGGCGAAGCTCGGTCGGTGATACCCGTGAGCGTCTCAGAGGGAATCCCCAATCGGTAACTATGACACTCAGAGCTCCAACACTTATAGATAGTGTTAAATCGCTGCTGTGGTAACCCACAGCAATTCTCTAAATTCAGCAACTTGTGGGAGATTACCAAAGGCTGTGCCAAAGGTGAAGGCCAGTGGCTGCTTGGCTCCATTCCCCCTGGCAATAGGGCCCCTTAAGAGATGGATGCTCGTTTTCTAGGGTTCGTAATATAGTGTGTACTTATGGCCGGCATGTATCCTACGTTCGTTCAAATACACATGCATGACAGAGTTATAGGTTCGAGTCCTGCCTGAACACAAAGGAATGGCATTCACATACCTTTTTCCCAGCAGGAATACCATTCCTGCAGGGCTCAAGCCTTGATACAGCCGATGAGAAGGGCCTGCACAACAGGTGACGGAGCCTATAAGGGAGCTGTCAGAGCGTTGCCATATGTTGCCATGGAGCTCTACTCCGGGAAGTACTTAGCTAGGTCTCATGAGAAGAGTCTGGGCACCCAGATGAGGACCTTACTGGAGATTATGCAATGACACTGAACTACCATGGAATGTAGTGTCCCCGCCCCTTAACCACAGGGTGTAATAACATGAAATAAAGCCCACCCCCCACCACCCCAAAAAATAAATATTTGAAAAAAAATCTAAACTGCTCTAGGTCCCTTTGAAATGGAACTGACTTTGCTAATTCTCCTGCAAAGTTATTTGATCTAATCTCCTGTTGCAAGTTATCTGCAAAGAATTTAACCCTACACTTGCCTGCCGACTAAAGCTAAGCTAATTCAACTAACTCTGATATGTAATTGCTCCCTTGTTCCTGCCAGTTTAACATTTATCCTGAATTATATAACAACACGAATATGTATCTACAAAAAGTAAACAAACAAGGACCACAATAGAGTAGTAAAACAGTACACTTGATGGAATAGAATTCCATAGAACTCACAAGTTTAGAATAAAATGCAGGCTCATCTCACATATTGGTAATTTCTCTGATAAAAAAAAAAAAGGTATTCTGATGCTATACTTTGTCCAATGATATTGTAACGGTTCCTTTAAATGGTTCACGTCACTTCCCAATCTATTACTTTAAGATTCTAATTGAAGTTCATGGATCCACCTATTTAAGCCTTCAACGCCAATGTCTCAGTGCACAATTAATGTGTCTCTACCTGTGTGCAGTTGACACCTATTTACTCTCCCAGTGACTCTTTCAATTCCCCTCAAAGTTAATTCCCAGTTAAAATTATTTGCTTATTACTTATTACTGACCTGGATTGGACTTTGACACTTCTCTTGGACTCTCCTTACTTTGCTTATTAATTGTTGCCGAACTGGACTGGATTTGACCCTTCTCCTGGATATTCCTATAGACTGATTTACTGTTGCAGAACCGGACTGGATTGCAGTACCGGACTGAATTTGACCTTTCTCCTGGATATTCCTATGGACTGATTTACTGTTGCCAAACCGGATTGGACTTTAACAAACCTTCTGGATTTTCCCTATAAAATTCAAGCTAACCTAAATGTCATTCTTAATCCTGGTGATTATCTTTTATTCTCAAACTCTCATACTGGTGAGTAGTCTTTATTTTTAACTTGTCTTTATTTTTAACTTGACATATATATATAACAGATATACCCTAATTCCCTGTTAAACTACTGCCCTATCTCGCTACTACTGTTTCTCGCCAAGATCCTTGAGAGAATTGTGTATGCGAAATTGACAGACTTCCTCGAATCCAACTCTCTGCTTGACCCGCTTCAATCTGGACTCCGCACTCGTCACTCTGTTGAAATAGCTGTAACCAAAGTATATAATGATCTTATCACTGCTAAATCCCATGGCCACTACTTTTTCCAAATTCTCCTCGACATTTCTGCTGCTTTTGACACTGTTGATAATCAACAGCTTCTTCTCATCCTCTGTAACCTCTGTAAAATAATACTCTCTCTTGGTGCTCTTCCAACCTCTCCCAGCGCTCATTCAGTGTGTCTTTCTCTGGTTCTGCCTCGTCTCCCAAATCCCTCTCTTTTGGTGTTCCCCAAGGGTCTGTCATTGATTCCCCATTGTTCACCATCTACACTCCCTCCCTTGGTAAACTCATCAGCTCTTTCGGCTTTCAGCGTCATTTCTAGATGGATGACACGCAAATTTATCTGTCCTCCCCTGATTTCTCACTATCCCTCTTGACTTGTGTCTCTGACTGCCTCCCTGCTATTTCCAACTGGATGGCTGCTCATTTCCTTAAACTTAACATGCCCAAAACAGAACTTCTGGTCTTCCCTCCCTCAAGTGTTATTACTCCCTTGTCTGTGTCCCTCCAAGTCAATGGCGCTACCATCTGCTCTACCCCTAGGCTTGCTGCCTAGGTGTTCTCTTTGACTCCAGTAGTACTCCAGTTAGGAAATGATATTCCAGCTTTTAATCACTTAAAAACATAAAACAAAACATAGTGTAAAATACAATGATAAAAGATAAGGTTATGACTCACAATTGGTCCGCCACTAATAGTGGCCAGAAAGGCACATCAATAGGTCAAAAGACCTGCCACGAAGGGACTCCAAGATGTTCTGAGTCAGCTCCTGAATGCACCAAGGTTCTGAATCCCAAGGGGTAATAAAGGAGTGAGTTCTGTATAAGGATGTCCTAAATAGAGAGTTATGGAGGCTCTGTATGTGTCCGACCGGTTTCGTCCTCAGGAGTTTTTCAAGGAAGAACTTAGATGTAGTCCACACCATTGAGACTTATAAACCCCACCAATTTGTGTGCAGCTGGGTTCCCCAAATGGGTTGAACCAAATCAGGTGTGTTTAAAAACAAAATCCCACCTAAAACATGGCCACCGAGATCGTATATGGAGACCAATTTGGCAGCCATTAGGTTATGTCTTCTGGAAACATAATCCACCGGCCCCACTCATGGACACCAAAAAGATGGCTGATCGCATATGCAGAGGTGTTTAAGTAGCCGCGCATGCGCAAAAAAAAAGGCTGCTCACATGTACAGCGACATCTAAATTTTTAAAAATATCTGAAATCGCTCGATCATATTAAATCCAAGCGGGCAGAACGTTACAACGTACTGACAGCCCGAAAGACCATCGAAATAAACAGTGATTAAATGGTGCATTAGTTGAACCCCTTAAGGACGGTGGGCATTCTATGCCATCCTTGGGGACCCGGCTCTAAACGCCGGCTGACGGCTTAGAACGCCCAAGTCGTCCTATGTACTTACCTGGTCGCCGGCGAATTCGGTATGGGGACTCACCTGGGAGCCCAGGGAGTCCCCCTCCTTCCTCTCCGCCCCCCCTGGGCCATGTGATCTCGAGGTCCTTGCAAGGACCGCGCAATCACATGCACGGCATAGCAATGGCAGGTACTCCCCCTGCTACCTGAAAAAAGTTAAAAAAAAAAAGTTACAGTTTAAAATAAAATATATACTTATATCATTAATTATATATATGATCTAAGTATATATATATATATACACATATACATACATACACTGTCTAAGTGTATTTTAATATTAATATATATATATAATTATAACTATATTAATATCAAAATACACGTACAATGATATTGATTATATATATATATATATATATATATATAATTTTCATTATATATATATATATATATATTTATATATAATATAAAATAAAAAAATATGTAAATACATTAAAAATATATATATATGTGTAAATTCATTCTAACTGTATTTTAAAATTAATATATATATATATATATATATATATTGATATCAAAATACATGTAGAACGAAATAATATATATATATCGATGTACATAAATATATACGTATATATCACTATATATATATATATATATATATATATATATATATATACCTATATATAAATAAAAATAATCTAAAAAAATTATATACACATATATATATATATATATACAAATATATATATATATATATATATATATATATATATATATATATATATATATAAATATATAATAATTCTACGTATGTATTTATGTAATAATTTTACATAATTAGGTAATTTTATTAATACAATTTGCCGGACCTGCCTGACAACCCAGGCCAAAAGTCCAGGGAATTTAATTTTCTAGCATTATATTTAACCCTGTAACTTTCCAAGACACCATAATACTGTTTTACTCGGAAGACTTCGCTGAACACAAATATTAGTGTTTCAAAACAGTAAAAGTTATTACAACGACGATATAGTCAGTGAAAGTGAATTTTTTTGCATTTTTCACATACAAATGGCACTTGCACGGACGATATAATTGTTGTGATACATTTTACTGTTTTGAAACACTAATATTTGTGTTCAGCGAAGTCTCCCGAGTATAGCAGTACCCCTCATGTACAGATTTTATGGTGTTTTCAAAAGTTACAGAGTCAAATATAAGGCTTGCGTTTCAGTTTTTTCACATTGAAATTCGCCTGGTTGGTTATGTTGCCTTTGAGACCGTACGGTAGCTCAGGAATGAAAATTACCCCCATGATGGCATACCATTTGCAATAGTAGACAACCCAAGGTATCGCAAATGGGGTATGTCCAGTCTTTTTTAGTAGCCGCTTAGTCACAAACACTGGCCAAAATTGGTGTTCAAATTAGTTTTTTGCATTTTTCACACACAAACAAATATTAAAGGGACACTCCAGGCACCCAGACCACTTCTGCTCATTGGAGTGGTCTGGGTGCCAACTCCCACTACTCTTAACCCTGCAAGTGTAATTATTGCAGTTTTTATAAATAATTACCTTGCAGGGTTAACTCCACCTCTAGAGCGACACTCTAGCACAGGTTTAGGGACACGGAAGTGCCCTCTAGTGGCTGTCTAGTAAACCTGTGCTAGAGCGTCGCTGGACATCCTCACGCTGTGTGAGGACCTCCAGCGTCGCTCAATTCCCCATAGGAAAGTGGAGATGTGGCAACCACATCTCCACTGGGCACGGGATGCCCTCCACTTCGGCCTGCGGAGCCACTGCCCGAAACACGTCCCAATGCGAATGAGAGAGAGCATCGGCCATTACATTGAAAACCCCCAGTATATGTTCAGCCCTACAAGACACGTTAAGCCCCAAACAACGCAGGACCAAGCGCCGCAGCAAGTGTACCACTGGGGAGAAGAAGCAGTCAACTGATTAATAGCCTGCACCACCCCCAAATTGTCGCATCCATCCTCCTGAGCTCCAGAAAGGCCAAGTTCCGCGTGAGCCCTACCACATGCCAGTCCTCCGGCTATGAGTCAGCACACCATTTCGAGCCCATGATGGCCCCAAAACCCACCGAGCCAGCCGCATCGGTAAACAGGTGGAGGTCAGCATTCGAGACCTCGAGAGCCTGCCAGTAAGTTCTACCATTGTAAGAGGCCAAGAAGGAATCCCAGACAGCCAAATCATCAGGCAAGGGCAGTGTAAGCCAAATAAAGTGCTGAGGGTGAGCGACCCCAGACGTCGCCGTCGCCAAATGCCTGTTAAAGATATGCCCCATGGACAAGATCCGACAGGCAAAATTCAGCTTCCCCAGAAGAGATTGCAGGCAGTGTAGTTGGACCTTACGACACCCTAACGCCAGCAACACCACCTGTCGGAGGTGTTGAACCTTAGCCTGGGGCAATCGACATTCTCCGGCCACGGAATCGATCACGATGCCCAGGAAGCTAAGGCACGTAACCGGACCCATGGTTTTGTCATGTGCCAACGGAACACCGAACCGCTGAAACGTGTGACTCTGCAGGCCCCACACACAAGAAGTCATCCAGTTAGTGCAGGAGGGGGTTGACCCCGGCTTCCCTCAGCACCACCCACTCCAGGAAAGTGTTAAAGCAACCCATAGGGAGGCACATATCCACAAAAAACTGACCGTCAAAGGTACAGCCCAGGAGATGATGACAATCCGGGCGCACCGGAAGCATCCAGAAAGCCGATTCCACGTCTGCCTTTGACAGCAATGCCCCCGGGCCCACAGCCCGCACCATGTGAACTGCCACATCGAAGGATGCATAGGAAACCCGGCAGAGTTTGGCTGATATGTCATCATTCACCGAACCCCCAGGAGGGTATGACAAATGGTGAATCAAGCGATATTTTCCACGTTCCTTCATAGGCACCAAGCCCAAAGGGGATACCTGCAGATAAGATATAGGGGGAATAGAAATTTTCCCATGCTGTGTCAAATGACTCATAACACTCTGATTGGATGGCTTGAAATCCAACCAATCAGCGTGCTCTGCGCCATTTTACACAGCGTGGGAAAATTCCAAAGAACTTTACCACGCTGTGTAAAATTACTAGAACTCTGATTGGTTGAATTCCAAGTCAACCAATCAGAATGTTCTGAGCCTAATTGCAGGACGGGGCCAGGCTTTATAAGCCTTTCCCTGCCCTGCAAAGCTCAGTCTGTGCCGCGCCTTCGCCAGGTGAAGATGGATTAATTTTTAGCTTCTGTTTTTTTCTTTTTCGTCTGATTATTTTTTGCACTCGGGTTTATTATTTTATTTTTTACAAGTTCGATGGATATTGTGGTTTTTATTTGGCCTTTTTTGGGGCTGCAAAAATTAAGCTTTTAGAAAAATGAAGACATCACATGGTAAGTTTTATTTTTTTTACAGGTAGTTAGTTCTTTTATTCCCCCCTCACTATTTTTAGGGTGAGGGGGGTAGGTAGGGGATTAATTTTTATTTGGGTGGGGGGGTGACTAGGGGCTTAGGGACCCCTAGTCACCTTGGAAAGGGGGGGGGCATTTTAACTTAGGGCCCCCATCCGCCGCTCATGTGTGTGGGCCTGGGGGGAGGACAATAGCTCCCCCCACCATATTGTTATTTATGGCCCCCACCGACAACTCAGGGGTTGTTGCTGGGGGGGAGGACAATAGGTCTCCCCGCCTCATTTTCCTTTATGGCCCCCACCCACCGCTCAGGAGTGGGGGCTGGGGGGGAGGACAATAGTACTAGGGTTTTTTTGTGTATTTTTTTTTTTTAACAAACTGCCAAATGTAACACATCTTATGGTTATTAGACGCAACCCCCTGCCTCTCCATCAACCTCTGCCACCAGTATGACAGGTGTGCTCGAAGTGTGTTAGTAGGTTATTATAGAAAAAAAAAGAAGATAATAGGCGCTCGCTATAGTGAACAGGCAGCAGTATATACACAAGGATTCCCAAACCTTGTAAGTGAATAGTGGAAAAAAGAAAAACGTATACCGCGCCTAATTTATATATGTGAAATATACATACATATATCTTGAATATTCCAAACGGATCGTAACCTCAAAGAGAACAGATTAAGAAACAAATGATAGTGCAATACAGTAAATATATTCTTTAGAGCAGATAGTATAAGGCTAAGTTCAATCCACTCACATATGGATGAGCTATAACAGAGCTCTGCTGTAAGAACGCCTGGACGGTACAATCCCCGTCTTTGGATTTGTAGAAGTTTCCACGAATATTTCCACAATGCAGTGAGCGTAGTAAATATGAAAGGAAAAAATAGCAGCAATATGGTGAAGTAAGTACTAGTGGTATGACCAATATTAAATAGTATTGTACTTACAATTTCTAGAGCATATATCCTGCTCTAGTATAAACAGCATGGGTGGTATAATCCCCACCAAGGATATACAGGATCCAGGAAGTAAAATAAAAGATTGGAGTGGATATAAAAGTAACTTTAAAAAGTATACTTTAATATAAACAAGCTAAATAGAAATAAAATATTATAAAACATAAAATGTAGTCCCACTTAAGTGGGACTACATTTTATGTTTTATAATATTTTATTTCTATTTAGCTTCTATTTAGTTTGGAATATTCAAGATATATGTATGTATATTTCACATATATAAATTAGGCACAGTATACGTTTTTCTTTTTTAGTAGGTTATTAGTTGGGAAACACAGGTTTGACTTTGTATGATTTGGTTAGAAGACCACCTTGGTTTCTATAAACAGAAAGCTACATACTCTGCTTTGGTATTCATCTAATACCAGTTCCAACTATGGATCTAGTAGTTTGTAATAATTTTTATATTTACTGCCTTTGCACTTTTTAGAATGAATACCGTATGTACAACAATATGTTATGCTGTAACCTGTGAAAAATAAAGAAATTATAAAAAAAATAAATAGGAAAACCCTATATTGGACCCTGTAACTTTCCAAAACTCCATAAAACCTTCACAGGGTGGTACTGTTTTACTCGTAAGGCATTGCTAAACACAAATATGAGTGTTTTAGAGCAGTAAAACTTATAATGATATTGATATCGTCAGTGAAAGGGCATGTTTTGTAAAAGATGGAAAAACTAATATCAACGCTAATTTTTGCCAGGGTTTGTGACTAAGTGGCTCCTGAAAACGACTGGACATACATTTCTGCGTGTGCTCTGACTTTAAGAGCTTTTGTGTGTTTTGGGTGAGAAAAGATTGATGGGCACTGCTTTAAAATACAGTTGTGTGTGTATATATATATTACTACATATTTATTATTACTAAATATATATACTAAATAGTGATTTTAAAACCATTACCAATGGAGTGTTACATTAAAGTATGTTTGCTATTTAACAAAACATAAAACTATGGCAAATAAAATATAATTAGTGTGTTTTTGTTTGTGACTGTGAACTTATGTGCTGTCTGGTCTGGCTAAGTTCAATTAGCTCAGTGAGCTGCCACTTCCTCTGCATCAGTAGATAGTCAATACATTGTTAAACACAATTCTGCACCGTAGTCACGTGCTTTTCCCACAGAAATTTCACATTTGCATCAATGTTACCACCGCAAGGGATTCTGGGTGTGCATATACGAATGGCTTTAACAAAGATTCACCTTTTTTCCTCGTTATTCCATCTTAAACATGGATTCCTTGGAGTTTGTTTGCTGTGTACAAGAGCTTTGAAACACAATTTAGGAAGAGATACAAAGCCAGTGAACCACTCATTTTTTTTTTTTTTTATACGATATATAAATCTAAAGAAAACCTAAAGAAAACTTAAATTTGATGTTTATTTGTGTTTCTGACACACAGAAGAATTCTAATATATCTGTATAGTAACATCACAGGGATCCAGCCAACAAGAAAAAGAAAGAAAAGACATGTATATTATAAGAAGGATTTTTTGCTACAACTCAAATGAGCAAATGCCAGCTGTTTCCATGTATATAATCCAAAGTTTAATGTGTGGTAATTAGCAGCTTCTGAAAGTTTTAATGACTCCTTTCACCAACAGTGCAAATTTAATTATACACAATTTTAAAATATATTCTTATGTAAGCAATTATCAATTTTATATTTTTTAGAGTGAAATTTATTCGGCTAAATGGCACCACTCTTCTGAATAGTACACAGTGGTCTGCAGTGATTAGTCTGATGACAGGTAATCAATAATTTGAAATGTTATTTAGAAAGTGTTTTATAATGCTGGAATTTTTATGGTTAACTACTAATGCACAGAAGAATTGGTCATACAAATATTGCTCATTAATGGTTATGATTGATTAAGGGCCAATGACGGAATAACTCAGTCATCTAGCCTTTACAAGTTTATATACACTGAGCAAAATTATAAACGCAACACTTTTGTTTTTGCACCCATTTTTCATGAGCTGAACTTAAAGATCTAAGACTTTTTCCATGTACACAAAAGGCCTATTTCTCTTAAATATTGTTCACAAATCTGTCTAAAGTTATGTTAGTGAGCACTTCTCCTTTGCCGAGATAATCCATCCACCTCACAGGTGTGGCATATCAAGATGCTGATTAGACAGCATGATTATTGCAAAGGTGTGCCTTAGGCTGGCCACAATAAAAGGCCAGTCTAAAATGTGCAGTTTTACTGTATTGGGGGGTCCGGGATGATCCGAAAAACCAGTCAGTATCTGGTGTGACCAACATTTGCCTCACGCAGTCTAACACATCTCCTTCACATGATTGATCAGGTTGTTGATTGTGGCCTGTGGAATGTTGGTCCACTTCTCTTCAATGGCTGTGCGAAGTTGCTGGATATTGGCAGGACCTGGAACACCCTGTTGTATACACTGATCCAGAGCATCCCAGAGCATCCCAAACATGCTCAATGGGTGACATGTCTAGTGAGTATGCTGGCCAAGAACTGGGATGTTTTTAACTTCCAGGAATTGTGTACAGATCCGTGCAGCATGGGGCCGTGCATTATCATGCTGCAACATGAGGTGATGGTCGTGGATGAATGGCACAACAATGGGCCTCAGGATCTCCTCACGTTTCTGACTGTTTGTGCAGAAATTCTCTGGTTATGCAAACCGATTGTTGCAGCAGTTGGCTGGGTGGCTGGTCTCAGACGATCTTTGAGGTGAAGATGCTGGATGTGGAGGTCCTGGGTTGGTGTGGTTACACATGGTCTGCGGTTGTGAGGCTGGTTGGATGTACTGCCAAATTCTCTGAAACTCCTTTGGAGACGGCTTATGGTAGAGAAATTAACATTCAATTCATGGGCAACAGATCTGGTGGACATTCGTGCAGTCAGCATGCCAATTGCACGCTCCCTCAAAACTTGCGATATCTGTGGTATTGTGCAGTGTCATAAAACTGCACATTTTAGAGTGGCCTTTTATTGTGGCCAGCCTAAGGCACACCTTTGCAATAATCATGCTGTTTAACCATCATCTAGATATGCCACACCTGTGAGGTGGATGGATTATCTCGGCAAAGGAGAAGTGCTCACTAACACAGATCTACACAGATTTCTGAACAATATTTGAGAGAAATAAGCCTTTTGTGTGCATAGAAAAAGACTTAGATCTTTGAGTTCAGCTAATGAAAAATGGGGGCAAAAACAAAAGTGTAATTTTGTTTAGTGCAATAAAGGAACGTTCCACTTATTTAACAAAAATAGGATTTTATAGATAATCAGATCAGGCAAGCTTCTTCCATTGCTCCATGGTCCAATTCTTCACCCAATCATGCAGACAAACACACGCTGACTCAAGTAGACACACACTGACCATGCAAACTGACACACACGCACTAACCCATGTAGACTGCCGCACACAGCCTCATATACATACATTGATCCATGCAGACACACTGACCCATGCACACACATATAGACAAACTGACCCATGCAGGCACACACACATACCCATGCAGACACAGACACTAACCCTTACAGAACACACACAATGACCCATACAGACACACACAATGACCCATACAGACACACACTGACCCAGACAGACTGACATACATAAACATACTGACTGAAGCAGACTGACACACATTCTCTGACATACCTTACCTTCATTGGAGTTCATTGCCTGCGCCTGGCTGCCCATCACGTCCTTTCTCTGCACATTTTCTCTTATGCTCCCGCCCACTTCTCCCCACGTACAGGGGAAGGCGCGGGAGCGAGAAATTGAAGTGCCCGCGCGCTGCCGCAATGCATGTCTGGGAGGGGGGGCCTGGCTGAGTGGGCTGTGGTGGATGCCGCCGGACCTGTTTTCTACCACGCGCTAGTGAGCAACATTGTAAGTGCTTCCGAGCACCCGGTAAAATTGACTACAACCCTCTGCCTTACCCATTCAACAATATTGGAAAACTTAAATATTGCAGTTTATTGATAAGCCTTCTATGTGCAACAGTGTCAAAAGCCTTACTGAAATCTAGGTAAGCAATGTCTACTGCACTACCCTAATCTACTATTTTAGTTAAACAATCAAAAAAATCTATAAGATTAATTTGGCATGATCTCCCTGAAGTAAACCCATGTTGTCTCTGATCTTGAAATCCATGTGTTTTTAGATGTTCAACAATCCTATCCTTTAACATGGTTTCCATTACTTTCCCCACTACTGAAGTAAGGCTTACTGGCCTATAGTTGCCCGACTCCTCCCTACTACCTTTCTTGTGAATGGGCACAACTTCCAATCTTCTGGGACTACTCCTGTTAACTTCCCCCTTCATTGTCATTTTAGCTATTTCCTCAACTAGTAGATTATCTAACTCTTCTATTTGTCCTGGGGCCCTATAAATCACACCTACACGAGTTACTGTGTGATTACCAAATTGTAATGTAACCCAAACGGACTCTATGTTCGCCTCACTAATTTTTATTAGGCTAGATTTTATGCTATCCTTGATATTTGTCCCTCTTCTCATTATTAGGGATGTGCATGGGAAACATATTCGGCTCGGCATTCCGAAATGCAGGACTTCGGTACTTTGGTTCGGCACTTCGGTAGAGTGTAGGGTTAGGGTTAGAGGTAGGGTTAAGAGTAGGGGTAGGGTAGAGGTAGGGATAGGGTTAGAGGTAGGGTAGGGTTAGGAGTACAGTTAGGATTATGGTAGGGTTAGGAATAGGGTTACCCTACCCCTAACCCTACTCCAACCACTAACCCTACCCCTTCCCCAACCACTAACCCTACCCCAACTCTTAACCCTACCTTTAACCCTACCTCTACCCCAGCCACTAACCCTACCCTAACCCTACCCAACCCCTAATCCTACCTCAACCCCTAACCCCAACTCTTCCCCAACCCCTAACCCGACCTCAACCCCTAACCCCAACCCTCTCCTGTTTTGCCACTTTTCAGAAATCCGAAGCACTTCGGCACTTCCGAAATTCAGCAATTCGGACATTCGGAAGCATCCTAATGTCCAAAATTCGGCCGAATTTGCATTCGGAACCAAACGAATTGCACACCTACTCATTATCCTTCTTCCTGTTGTTATAGTCACTGGGTATTGCCACATCAACCACAACAGCAGTCTTCCGTTCCTTGTCAACCACCACAATGTAATGTTGGTTGGCCAGTACTTGTCTGTCTGTATCTGGAACCCCCACAGGATCTTAGCCCTGTCATCCTCAACTACCCTTTATAGTATCTCCTATGTGGACTTAGGCAGGTCCAGCCCATATTCTGCGCAAATGTTTCAGTACACAATCCCAGCAGCTTGGTTTCGACTTGCAGTGCATGCTGTTCCTGCTAACATCTTGCAACCAGTTACTATGTGCTGGGTTGTCTCAAAGGTCTATTTGCACAGTCTGAACCTTTGGTTTTGCCTGGTGTGGTAAACTTCTGCTTCTACTGATCTAGTGCTGAGTGCCTGTTCCTCTGCTGCTAGGATTAGTGACTCATTGCTGTCTTTCACTCTAGCCTTTTTAAACCTCTGGTAGGAATTCATAATGTGTGCCACATGTGCTATCTACCATGGAGAAGTATGTTTTGCCAGAAGTATGTTTTGCCTCATTTTCTGCATCCTCTAGTATGTTTTGCCAGAAGTATGTTTTGCCTCATTTTCTGCATCCTCTATCTCAGTGGTCCCCAAGAGATAGATCCACCGATGTTTTAAAACTACAGCTTCCATTGGGCTTTGTCATTCTAAAGGTGGAAATTGTGAGTAGATCCCAGTGAACCTGAATGACTGAATTGTCTAAATGACAATAAAGAGGTAGGGAGTGCTGAGAGTGGTGCAGTTTAACTAAAATCAAGAATATGCAAAAGATTCAAAAGGTACATTTACAGGGGAAAGTTTGCTGGAACATAGCCAATGTAATAAACTGTAGTGGTCATGATGCTTGGAATGTTCCATATTCAAAGTGGTTGACTTGCAAAAAAAATCAATTTAAAAAATGCATTACTGTGAAAGAAAAACGGAGAACATGAGATCTCAGTAGCTTGCTCTTCAGTTAGTTCCTGCTCAGGTCTCAAAAATGTTTTGTCTCACTATACCATTTGCACATCAGACTGATCCCATCAATAAGGGCAGTTCATGACCAAAATGCTAGCAAGTCCTTTCTACACAAGAGATACAGCAACCCCGGACAAGCGTGTCGCCCTTCTTTGGGCCTCGTCAGGGAGGTGTAGTTGATACCCCTCTAGGCACATTGAACACAGGATCCACTTCTGGATTATCCTTTTAATTTAGGGATAGCCTACGCAACTGCATTGCAACAAAAACATAGACTATGAGAACTCTGGAAACAGCAACACGCTTAGAGAATTAGATATTACTATAAAGTAACAATCTTTAGAATAGCTATAAAAAGGGCAAGAAATTGAAAGATGTTATCTGTGACAAAAAGATATGACTACTAAATTATAAGATAATATCATATTACAGGTATGCAGACCTGCCTTAATTGTTGCAGGTTTTTCCAATTTTTGTGTTACTTTTATTTGTATCTTGACATTTTTTTTATCAAAAGCTTTTTAAGCACACTTACAACATATAATTTGCACTATTTCAAAATGTTTATAATGGTGGCTTTAATACATGCCTGTATAAATATACATCTTAGTATATATTTTCATTAGAAAGAAACACAAATACTTCTGACAAAAGTCACAATGAGGCTTATTTGTAGAGAGCAAGTTCCAAAGTGGAGAAATCACCACAGGAACCAGTCTAATGGTGCTGCTTCATTTTATAAAACTTTGCACAGAATTATTCTTTAGATAAACACCTCTATATTATGGTTTTAAATTTTGTTAGCAAGAAACAGAGCTACGATTGACACCTGGCCCGGGAGAAGAAGTGGAGGCATGATTGTCATTACAACTATACTTTCAATTTGTATTGCCGTTTTCCTTGCCGGTTTGATTGCCACTTTCATTGTGGGAAGGTAAGCTAGAAGTTCTTGACCTTTAATGACATATGTTTTAGCATAACCTTTTTAATTACACACTAAAGTAAAATTAGATTTATCCCATTCAACAAACATTTGCTTCTCCACTTCTATGAGCATTCCAGTAAGCAGGGGGTTACACAGAGCACCCCATGTTGCCAGACAGGCATCTGCCTACCGGCCTAACGGCTCTACAGATCCCATTTAGCAGACTGCTGAGTGGCGGCAAGTTAGCTGCTGTAATCAGTCTGCGCACTGGCAGCACAGCTCCCCTGCTGTCTTCTTACTAATGCCAGGATGTAATATCACCTCAACTCCAATATAAGTACCAAGCTGCAGGGAGCTGGGCAATCAGTGCACAGACTGATCCTAGCAGAACACTAGGCAACAGGGATAACAGTCTCAAAAAAAAATAAAAAATAAAATAGTGTATGAGAGTATATGAATGAAAGTATACTGCATGTGTGTACGTGTATATGAATAAGAGTGGGTGTGAATATACATGTATATGTGTATATCAGTTTGAGTATGTGTATATGAAAATGAACATGTGTCTGTATCAATGTTTGTTTTAATATGAATGTGAGTGTGTGCGAGTATGTGTGTATATCAATGTGAGTGGGTGTGTTTATAATTTACCTAACAAAAAGGTGTTAGGGGCATTGTAGATACACAACAAAAGAAACATTTATTTTAAACACGGCTATTCTGCCCAGCCAAGATAGTTCGAATAATTTACCCCATCTATGGAGTTCAGCTCTGAGTTCTGGACACTTTTTCTCAATGTTTAGTTGCACCTTATTGTTTATATTTTTTGATAAATTTATACCTGAGAAAGATATATATATTGATCTCTCCAGTCGTAATCCTATCGTAGTGATGTAATTGTATTGTATTGTCATTATTGTATAATTCAAATGTTTTTTTATGTAAACAGATATATATTTAAAAAAAAACAAAAAACATTTCTACAGTTAAATAGTATTAATCGCCAATTTGAATAGCCCCTTTTTAATAATATGGAGCCCTGTACTATGTAACATTGAAGCTGCCATGGGGACATTGGGAGAGTGCTTTTTTTTTTAATCATAGCTGCACCCATAGGGCTGTTCCGTTCTTGGCCTGCATGTCTCCCTTGTATCTGATGTTGCCTGGGAGACAGGCTGTGGTCTGCCCCTGGCAGTCATATGATCACACACCTGTATGGGCCTGGTAGTAGTGAGCTGTTTGCAGAGAGAAGGAGTGGGGGAAAGTTGTGACAGTCCCAAAATAAGGCCCTACCTACCCCTTCACATTAATAGTAGTGATGAGGGGCAAATAATCAAAAAAACAAACAACAAAACCCTGTAAAAAAAAAAAATAATACTTGCCATTTAAGGTCGATGGAAAATCATTTTTTTCTGATCTCTTTTCTTTGGCACTAAAATACTCCATGTAAAACAAAAATAATAAATTATCAAGATACTATGCAAAAACCAGCTGAAAACATAAAAAAAAGCCTTAACAGAAAACATTCATGTGAGCTTATGAACAGCTCAGCACAAATGAGCATTCAAGATGGGAAAAGCCTGTATAAAGGTCTTGTCATAGAAGAAAAGTGGAGGTACAGCATGCTGGCAACGAGCGTCCAACAGCAGCAGGCCCAACCCCTGTTCCCCCATTTCCAATCCTTACCCTAACCTCCCTGACATCCCTCACCTTCTAGCGAGAGGGAAGTGATGTCAGTGAAGTTGGATCTTGATGATGGGACAACTTGGTCTCTATGCTGGAATGAAGGTAATAACCTTTTTTTTAATTTTTGATTTTTTTATTTGTGGGGGGCAACCAACATAGGAAGGGTTACTCTAAGCAAAAATAGTGTTTTATGAAATGCACAGTTTTTTTCATTGCAGTAACCTTTTAAGCTTGACATTGCAATATTTACAATTAAAACAATAGTTAGTCCTGATTTTAAGTCCAAAATGTTTCATGACTGTGGCAGCATTACTGGAAATAAAATGGTCCATGAATTTTGGAATTTTAAAAAACTGTGTCCTGATTCTGGATGAAAGTCATAATGTTATCAGTTGGTCACGGGACCAATGAGTCTGAAATATCTCAAAGGTTTATTTTCACTACTGTATAAAATGTTCAGTGCCCTATGGAAATACATTATAATGGCAATGTATAGGATTTCCAATGGTATTTTTACATTTAATATATTTATCTTTTATTTATTTTTTTTTTATCAGTAAGGGACATCTAACACATAAGACGGTTGAAAAGATCGAAGTTCCATTGTCAGAAGAAATTAAATTCAATGATTACCAAGGACATTCGGCAGATTATGAAACAAATATTCCTAAAATATAGGACATCCTTTTAACCAAGCAGCCTTCATGTTCTATGGCTTGGAAATAAACAGTTTTTATATTATATATATTTTTTCACCTTAAATAAATTGCCCCAAAATACCATGGATTATGTGAAGAAGAAAAAAAAGCATAACCTTACACCCCAAAGTTTAATATTTTCTGTTGATTTGTCTTTACTTTCATACTTTGGATCAGTAGAATTACCCCTAATATGTTAATATGCAACTCTAGTTTGGTGGGGGGCAGCCATATGTCTTAGTAATGCAAAGTTCTACATGACAAATGTACTTTCCAAAATGTCTCAATAAATGCATGCAGGGTAATGTCCTGTAGGGGACACCTTGACTTATGCACTTATAATGTGCCTTTTTGGAGCTAAAATTAACATTATAGTGTCATCAGTCTAAATGAGCTGTTTAGCTCCCCAGCCCCCTGTTTAAAAAGGTGGTTTACTCACCTTTTTTTCCAACACAGTGCAGTTTTCCTCATGGCAGCCCCACCACTTTGGCTGAGATCATCAAACTTGCCATAGGAAAGCATTAGGTAGTTATTGTACATGCGCAGCAAAATGCTGTGCTGCATCAATCTGCATCTCCTCATAGAGATGCCACTAGAGGTGCAGCACTGACCCAGGAAGCACCTCTAGTGGCTGTTTGAGTGACTGCCACCAGCTGTGTTATTAGGCAGAGAAAAGGCAGTGTTTATATTAAAAGGCCTGCATGGACAGGCATTAGACACAGACCAACTGCATTAAGCTGTAGTTGTTCTGGGGACTATAATGTATTTACATGGCTGTTGGGGAGATAAGTAACAAAGCGCCTTGGCTAGTGTCCCCGATAGTTTAGTCTGCCTTCTATATTTGATAGCAGAGCTGCAGGAACAGTTATATTAGGTGTGAAACTCAATCTGTCCAACCTCCTCTAGGGTATCTACCTTCCCATCTGCCCGCTATCATGTCTCACCCAGAAAATGCTTTGGAGGAAGAGCAGGAGCAGCAATGAGTGATGCACACTGTATAACAGTGTAGCTCTATTGCCAATCATAGGAGCCTACACAAAACATAGGAGGGGGATTACTTTGCAAATAACCCTTCAAACTCCACATACCCTAAACATTCATTTTTCCTAACGCTAAATTCACCACCACCACCTCCTCACCACCAAAAAAACCAGACCATTGTCTTTGTCTTTAATTTAAGCACTCAAAGTCTACACCTTTAAAAAATATGTTTACATTTATCCTAGATTGAACTCCACTTAAAGCGGTACTGTCATGCCGAACTTACCTTTCCTCAATCTCTTCCTCTTCTCCCCCTCTCTCGGGATCTGTTATTCTTTTCTTCCTGTCTTCTTTAGTTTTATTTAAAATCATAAGACAAAGTAGGGACTCTTTGCCTTATGGAGGATTCCTCCGCTTGACCAGCTCTGACCAGCGGAGGAGCAAAGTGTGCTTCATTTCCACTGGTCAGAGCAATTTTCCCATGATCCCTAGCTTTCCTCAGTGTTCCCACAATGCTTCCTGTCACTTTACACAAAACTGCCGAATTGCGTTCTAACTGAATGAGAACAGTCTGTTCGTTTCTTTTAGAACGCAATTCGGCACTTTATTCGGATCAGAATTTCATTCGAATGAATGAAACTCCGATCCTATTCATTGCTGTGGCTGCATCTTGCAGCCGCTTAGTAGATAACTCCCTAATTCCCACGGTATCAGGGAGTTATCTACTAAAAGGCTGAAAGACCTAAATTGGTCTTTCAGCCAACTTTACTAATACTAAGTAAAAATTACTTAGTATTAGTAAGTAATATGCCCCTACTTGCTATACTGCGAGTAGGGGCATGTCTGGTAAGCAGTGAGCAGCCTGTGGCTTCTCACTGTAAAAAAAACCAAAAAACTATTGGCCCCCACCCCTAAACGACGGGTGGGGGCCCTAAAGTAAAATAAGGGGGGAGACCAAATGACCTACTGCCCCCCCCGGCCCCCACCCCTGGGCGGCGGGTGGGGGCCATAGTGAGAATGAGGGGGGGACCTACTGCCGGCCCCCACCCCTGGGAGGCGGGTGGGGGCAATAATGAGGGGGGGTTAGTTATTTTATCCCCCCTCACTATTTTTTAGGGTGAGGGGGGTAGGTAGGGACTTTTTTTTTTGGGTGGGGGTGGGTGACTAGGGGCTTGGGGACCCCTAGTCACCTTGGTGGGGGGGGCAATTGACTTAGGGGTGGGGGCCGGGGGGGGGGAGTACTGCCCCTCCCTCATTCTCATTATGGCCCCCACCTGTCGTTTAGGGGTGGGGGCCAATAGTTGTTTTTTTATTTATTTTTTACAGTGAGCAGCCACAGGCTGCTCACTGTTTAGTGGACATGCCCCTACTCGCGGTATAGCGAGTAGGGGCATTTGGGAGATTTAAATCTCCCTTGTGCTATTATGGGGGTCATATTGATCCCCATAGAGTGAGAGGGGGACCTGGGGGGGGCTTATGAAGTGGTGGGGAGCACAGCTCCCTGCTACTTCTATCTTTACATATTACAAGGAGGGAGCTGCACGCCGGTAGCTCCCTCCTTGTAATAACCTGCACGAACAAACATACACTGATACATTGTGTTTGTTTGTTCGGCTGATATTTCTATTCACTCATTCGTCTGTCTGATGAATGAGTGAATAGATGAAATTCCCGTTCGCATGTCCAGGTGTTTCACTGGGCATGTGCGGGAATCTCACAGTCTGCCTAGTGTGGGCTGATGACGTGTCCCACAGGGACTTCACCTACCCACACAAAGATGGCGGCGCCCTGAATATAGAATTCGGGGCAGAAAATAAGGATTAAAAAATAGGTAATGTGGGGGGCTTAGGGGCATTTGGGGGTGACTAGTGGGTCAATTGGATGTAGTGGAGACGGGAGGGGGGTTAAAAAAAAAACAGAATTCGGCATGACAGTGCCACTTTAACAAGTAAACACACCATGTACCCCAATAAAAATGTAACCCAACCCTTGCCCTAAACTCAATAATTGCAAACACCATATGCCACAATTATAACCCATCTCAAGCTTTTAATCCTCTAAAACACCCTAGGTAATCTAACTCTGACATTAATCCATTCCTAACCTTAAACCCCCATTTACCCTAACCTCTTCTTACATTATCTTTAACCCTGCATGCGTATACACAGCAGCATATTCATATTCTTACAGATTCAGACACAATACATTACAAGCATAAATATACGTGTCTATCTATACATATGCAGTTGTCATGTGATTTTTAAAAAAAAGGAAGGAAGACATTGTCAAGACCTGTTAACTACTCAAAGAAATCTAAGAACATTATGATTTAAATGTATATTCTAAATTACTTGGTCCCTCCCTCTTTATATTCAGAGTCCACCACATATATGCATTGCCAAGAAGACATACATTTACACAAGCATTTTCTTTCAATCTATGGTCTTAATTTAATATTTTTAGATAAGCTTTTCAAATAATTTATTTTTGGATAAACTTTTAAAATACTTTTTTCAAAGTATTAAAATGTCAGAAAAAAATATTTCAAAAATAAAATAAATCAATATATAAAATTATTTTTCCAGGCCCTTCCTATCCCTATTTCTCCCACAGACTTCAAATATTACAATCACAGATAAATCAGTTTATCTGGTACAAGAAAAAAAGACAGGATCGAAAGATCGCAAGAAATAGAATATGTGATATAACTGGGTGCTTGTTATGGTGCTGCTACAAATACACAGTGAAATCAATCACTAAATTATACCAAATAAACCAAAATACAAAAACAACAGTGGAGAGCGCACTGATTGATACAGACTATATTGCCTGTATCTCAACCTTTCCCTGTGTGAATATTAGTTTATACATAAGTGAATAGGTAAAAAAAATACAAGAATACTTAAAAACAGATAGGATTTCAATAAATCTGAAAAATAAAATGCTCATAATAGGGCAATATAGTCTGTATCAATCAGTGGATATAGCAATGTATATATAGTATCCCACTCACATTTTCATGAGCATGTTGGTCACTGGCTCAGGTAAAACAGCTAAAAGTGGGATGTAGATCTTCTAATGCTTCCACTGGTAGAATACTTCAATCCTCCCAAAGTAACAAGGGAATAACAGGTACCAAGTTAGAGCAACAAATGCAGGTTTATTCAATAAAAACAAAGCGTAACCATACATACAGTTGAGATGGACAGATTTACGGCTAAAATTCATGAAACCTCTAAACATTTCCTTAAGATCTAGGACCCATGGCTAGGACAATGACACATAACGTGATACACTTCATGTAGCTCTCTCTACTGTTCCAAGATATGGACTGAATACACATTGATACAGCAGACTTGATAGTGCATTAGGAAATGTAATACCAACTACTAGAAAAAAAAGGTTTTGCCCCCTCTTCTCCTAGTTGATTTTTCTCTCTCCTCTCCTTTTTATGAAGATTCTTACAATTCTCAGACTAGCTATAGTGTGAGTGCATAATGGATGTTACCTATTACGTGCGGGTCTGGGATCAAACCATGAAGTCCACCACATTGAGGCAATGACCAATTGAAAGATTCCCTTTACCTATATATATGGGCGACTCTAATCCATGCTAGCTCCAGATATCCTGTTTCATGTCCAATGCAAGGTTTTTAATTTTTTGTTTCCAATCAATTTACCTGAATAATTGTGCAATCTATGTGGAACTTCTATACACATATGGATGTTGAACTGCTGTTTGGCCATGACTTGTACCCAATGTCATTTTAGTTATTTGTCTTTTGCACAGTACTTTACCTATTTGTAAACATATTTGAAAACTCAATAAACAGAGAATTAAACATTTTAAAAATATATTTTTCAAAATATGAAATTATATGAAAAACGTATACAAAAATATTAAATCGAAGCCTATGATAAGTGACTTTTTAAAGGTTATAATCTTTAACAATTTTGAAAAATGTCTTGGTTTTAAATGGAATGCTGTACACTAGTGTTTATGTTTACCTCTATTAAGATATAAAATCTGAAAAAGCCAAAATGCTAATTGCTATATATTAATTATCATATAATGTATCAGATTATGTTACGACTCAATGTGAATCTATTAATAAAGATGAATAAATAATAGATAACAGTGTTTGTAATTAAATTACATCATGTTAGCAATCTGCCACGATAATTAGCTGAAAGGGCTATGGGCACATAATGTATGTAAATGATTACAGGAAGGGTCCTATAATTGCAACAATTTGTAGACATATCCCCAATTATAAGCCAGTCACTACTCTGAATCTTTACCAAGACTGCCAGAATTATATTTTCCTGGTTTCCTATATGAAATTTGGCAAACCCAAAGTAAGGAAAAAAAGATAAAATTAGAAGCACTTAATAAACAAAAAATGGCCGTTGCTGATCAAATTGCTGCTGCTGGCCAGGTGGAAGACAGAGGTCTCTAGACAAAGAAAGCACTACAAAAACACCATTCTCCAGCAAAGCACACAAATCATTGCAGCTTTATTAGTATGAACAACGTTGGCATGAGGAACTGCACCACGTGGAGGAGCCAAAGCCTATTGTGTTTTATACCCAAAGGTCCTTACTCATAAAAGTTCTGATTAAAGACGAGTAAGGGCCTCTAGGTCTGAAACAGCTTGTCCCAACTGCATCTGTAGAGGCAGCAAGTACCTCAAGACTCGGTCAGGCTGTGAAAATCCCAACAATGAAAGGCATTTGGAAAAGAGGGTGAGCAGCAGCAAGTTCATTTTATTTTTTTTAATAAAGTGGATGAAAAAGGATGACCTGTCCAAACTGGCATTACAGTGGTTCAAAGTTTCTGTCACATCCCTAAATGGAATAGGAACTGACAATAGCTACCCTATTATTGTCTAATCCTCATGCCCTAGTGGGGAGTCAACTCCAATGGAGTGGTGGGAAGATGGATTGCCTTATGCTGTTCCAACAAAAAGTTGGAATGCAGCAGAATGTGAGTGAGCTGGAAACCTCCTTGAGATGATGAGTCCAACTTTCCCTGTCCAACCTGCCAGAAGGAAATTCAGTCAAGCACTGTCCTCAAGGTATGGTATGGTGTTGCAAACTGAAGTGATAGTCTTCTTTCCTCAAGGTCCCTTTCACCTTGTATAACTTTACCACCACAAAAGCACCCCCAGCCTATCACATGCTTCCACCATGCTTGACAGGTGGTGTCAGGCACTCGTCCAGCATCATTTCATGTAGTCTGCTTCACACAAATTTTCTTCTTTGTGATCAGAACACCTCAAGTTTAGATTCGCCAACACTTTTTTCGAATCTACCCCTGTGTATATGTTCTTTTGCCCAACTTAATATTTTCATTTTATTGTCAACTCTGAGAAGGGGCCTTTTCTTTGGAACTTTTGAAGGCCAGCATCCAAGACTTACCTCTTCACTGTTGACGTTGAGACTGCTGTTTTGTGGGTACTTTTTAATGAAAGAGAAAAAGAAGATACAGGTGTTGGACCAAAGTGCACCCTGTAAAAAAGCTGGACTAGGTGAATATAAAGGGCATTAACCCCAATATTAGTAGGACACGTTAAGAATTTAAGAAATAGTCTCCACTTGCAAAAATGGCAGCAAGGGGACCAGATCTTAAACAATTACCACCACTTGTAAATTAATTTATTTAGGCAGTACCGATATAGTTGAAAGTATTAAAACCTATATAGTCTTTATTGGATTAAATATACCACACAAAAACCATATAAAAAAGTGAACCAAATTTAGAGGAAAATATGATTGTAAAAATTAAAGTAAAAAGAAAAATAATAAATGTTACAACAAAGAGGGAGGTCTGAATGAGTCTATAATCATAGTCTAGGAAGTTTCTTAAATCTCACAGTTCTTATATACACTTGGAGCTCCTTTCATTAAAAATTTAATAACCGCCACAACGTATGAATTTAATCGACTTGATACTCTAAGTTGGGTCAATGTAGCTAAAGCTAAAGTAAAATGGCAATTTCCCAGTTGTATAATTCAAAGTATTAATTTTAGAGAAAGTATATACAATACTAGGAAGGTCATAAATATCTAGTGATTTTACAATTTGACCAATAAGGTTTCAACTCTACGAGAAATTGGACGGTTTAAGAGTTCTTAGAGGTGTATTGTATGCCTATTATTTCGAGGTACTAAAGGCTTAACAATAATAATGATAAAGCTCTTGTGCAGTCTAATCCAAGTCAGTTTGAAATCTACATAACTGTTTACAAAATGACTGAAGTGCTGGCATATAAGAAAAATCACGATTTGAGTACCATAAATTAGAAATTCAATTTGATATGTCATATGATCCCAGGTGCCCGAGGCTAAAAACTGCAGTGAATCTCAAGTCAGTGTGATCCTTCCAAGGAAGTCACAAACTCACTGAAACTCTAGCAGAATCAAGTCTGACACAATTAAGAGACCACAAAGGATTTTTTTTTATTAACAATAAAACCCTCACATAGTCAAATCTAAAAATGTAGACTCAGATGAAAGTCAAAAAGATTATAGAGTATCATGCACTTTTCTAAGTAGAGAGGGTAAGCTATACTGAATTTAACCTTAAATAGAGCATAGAGGGTAGAAGCTACTTTATAAGCCTGATCTATTTAGTACTGCTCAATCAATTATTAAGAAGTGGAAAATTTGGGGATCTCTTGACACCAAGGCAAGGTCAGGTAGACCAAGAAAGATTTCAGTCACAACTACCAGAAGAATTGTTCGGGATACAAAATAAAACCCACAGGTAACCTCCGGAGAAATACAGGCTGCTCTGGAAAAAGACAGTGTGATTGTTTCAAGGAGCACAATACAACTATACTTTAACAAAAATGAGCTGCATGGCCGTGTTGCCAGAAAGAAGCCTTTACTGCACCAATGCCACAAAAAACCCCAGTTACAGTATGTCCGACAACACCTTGTGTCAGGTCCCCCCGCTATGCACTTACCTGGTTCTCCCTCGCCGCGTCTCCATGCGGTCTGCTCCTCCATGCCACACGCCTCCCTGTATTAAGGATGGTGTGCGAGACCTTTCACAAGACATCCTGGGCACTCACAAGCCCGTTATGCAGCACGCCGCCGCATACCATGAGGCCAGGACTCCTCTTCAAAAACGCCTTTCACACACTGAAGGTTCCTAAGGCGCGCACATACCTCCTTTCAAAGGAGAAGGAGCTTCAGTTCAATTAAAGTGCCACACCACACCTGAAAACACTGAGGAGGGAGATGTCCCTCCTTTCCATATAAAAGAACACCTGGTAGCCCTCCTCAGTACTCAGATATACTGTGTTCACAGTACTATAGCCTACTATCCTGATATTTGCGTTCATGATATTGACCCTTTGCCTGATTTACCGACTTTGAACCTACACTGCCTGAACTTACCCTTTGCCTCTTCTGGCCTCGTTCCTGTCTCATCCTTGTCTGTACTACGATATATTTAAACTGCTACAGCTCTTGCTGCATCTAGGGATCCCTCCGCTGAACCCTTACACCTTGTCACGCCTCACAGCTTCTGGCACACTGTAATTTGGAGTGACGAGACCAAAATAGAGCCTTATGGTCACAACTATAAGTGCTATGTTTGGAGTAGGGTCAACAAGGCCTAGAGTGAAAAAAATACCACCCCCACATTGAAGCATGGTGGTTGCTCACTGATGTTTTTTGGGGGGGGAGGGTGTGCCAGTATATTTGAAAATACTGGCAGATATTTTGCATTCACTTTTGCCTGCCCACTCATGTTTTTTTTAAAAGTGGTAGCTATATTACCAATTTCCAAGGGTATGCAAACGTTTAAGCAGAACTGTATATAAGAACTGTGAGATATAAGAAACTTCCTAGACTATGATTATAGGCTCATTGAGACCTCTCTCTTTGTTTTAACATTTATTATTTTTCTTTTTACTTTATTTTTCAAATTCACGTTTTCCACTAAGGTTTGTTCACTTTTTTATATATATTTTTTTTTTTTTTTAAGATCTAATCCCCCTGCTTGATTTTTTGTTAGTGGGTACTATTTAATGAAGCAGCCAATTAAGGGTCTGTGATTCATCTGTTTCTCACTCTATGTATTTGTCCTCTTGCTTAGTTGTGCACCAGGGCCTCCCACTCCTCTTTCTATTCTGGTTAAAGCCCTTCTGTGTGCTCTTCTGTGAAGGGAGTAGTACACAGCATTGTATGAGCTCTTCAGTTTCCTGACAATTTCTCACATGGAATAGCCTTCATTACTCAGAACAAGAATAGAATGACAAGTTTCAAAAGGAAGATCTTTGTTTCTGGTCATCTTGACCCTGTAATCAAACCAACAATTTCTGATGCTCCAAATACTCAACTAGTCTCACGAAGGCCAGTTTTATTGCTTCTTTAATCAGCACACATTTTTCAGCTGTGCTAACATACTTGCGAAAGGGTTTTCTAATGATCAGTTAGCCCTAAACTTGGATTGGCAAACATAATGCGCCATTGGAACAAGGACAGATGGTTGCTAATAAAGCTCCACTGTACATGTTGATATTCCATATACAATAAGCCACTTCCAGCTGCAATATTAATTTACGACTTTAGCAAAGTCTACACTGTATTTATGATATATATATATATATATATATTTGTGTTCAGTGCTATTCTTGTAACGTTAGCGTATGTATTGTTTGATGTAAATTATAGATATGAACAAGTCGGTTGAAGTGTGCCGAAACCGACGTATGCGGTAGGCCTGTAATAAAGAGGGCCCACACTGAATATAAAATAATTAAAATTAAATTAAAATTGACTTGAGGGAGTGGTGGGTGGGGCCTGCCGAAACGTCTGATTCCACGGTGATGCAGGTAAGGAGGGAGTGCCTTAAGTAGGATCAACAAGCCCCTCCCACAACTCCAGGCAAGCCTTACATTTGTGATTGGTGCTATTCTTGTAACATTAGCGTATGTATTGTTTGATGTAAATTATAGATAAGAACAAGTTGATTGAAGTGTGCCGAAACCGACGTATGCGGCAGGCCTCTAATAAAGACAGCAAAAATTAGCAGTGTCTTGCCAAAGAAATATTTATTGCATACATGGAAATACCTCAAGATGACAGTTTTACACAGGTGGAGGTTTGTACAGAGCAAATG